CCCGGCCCTTGGCCTGCAGCTGCTGAGCCAGGGCCTCGATCAGCTTGGAGATCTGGGGGGAAAAACGGGGAAAATGGGAAATTTGGGAATTGGGGAAATGGGGGAAAAGAGAGAGAATCGATCAGTTTGGAGATTTGGGGGAAAAACCTAGGAAAAATGGCAAAAATAATGGGAAAAATGAGGAAAATAATGGGAAAAATGGGAAAAGAGACAGACTTGGTTAAGAGTGGAGATCTGGGGGGAAAAACGGGGAAAATGGGAAATTTGGGAATTGGGGAAATGGGGGAAAAGAGAGAGACTTGGTTAGAGTGGAGATCTGGGGGAAAAATGGGGAAAATGAGGAAAATAATGGGAAAAATGGGAAATGGGGGAAAAGAGAGAGACTTGGTTAAGAGTGGAGATCTGGGGGGAAAAACGGGGAAAATGGGAAATTTGAGAATTGGGGGAATTGGGGGAAAAGTGAGAGACTCAATCAGCTTGGAGATTTGGGGGGAAAATGGGGAAAATGAGAAAAATGGGGATTGGGGGAATTGGGGAAATAGGGGAAAAGAGAGAGACTTGGTTATAGTGGAGATTTGGGGGGGGGGGTTGGGGAAAATTGGAAAAATGGGAATATGGGAAACGGGAGAAATGGGGGAAATGGGGGAAAAGAGAGAGAATCAATCAGCTTGGAGATTTGGGGGAAAAACGGGGAAAATTTGGAATGGGGGAAATGGGGGAAAGGAAAGAGAGTTGGTTAGATTGGAGATTTGGGGGGAAAAACGGGGAAAATGGGAATTGGGGGAAATAGGGGAAAAGAGAGAGACTTGGTTAGATTGGAGGTCTGGGGAGAAAAATGGGGAAAATGTGAAAATTGGGAATATGGGAAATAGGGGAAATGGGGGGAAAGGGAGAGACGTGGTTGGGTTGGAAATGTGGGGGAGAAATGGAGGGGGAATGAAGGAAAAAGGGGGAAAAGAAGAGGAAAAAAAGGGGGGAAAGGTCCAGAGAGATTTTTTTGGGGTGGTCCCAGCAGATTTTTTGGGCTCCCCATTGGACATTTATGGGGTCCCAGTGGATTTGGGACTATCCCAGTACATTTTTATAGGATTCCATTGGATTTGGGGCTATCCAATTGGGTTCTCACTCGATAGGATTTTTATAGGATCCCATTAGGTTTGGGGCCATCCCATCACATTTGGGGATACCCTGTTGGGTTTTTATGGGATCCCAGTGGGTTTAGGGCTATCTGAGTGGGTTTTTACAGGACCCCAGAAGGATTTTGGGTCCCCCAGTGGGTTTTTATGGGATCCCAGTGGGATTTTGGTTTCTCCAGTGGGTTTTGGGATACGCTGTTGAGTTTTCACGGGATCCCAGTGGGTTTGGGGCCATCCCATTGGGTTTTCATGGGATCCCAGTGGGTTTGGGGCCATCCCATTGGGTTTTCATGGGATCCCAGTGGGTTTGGGGCCATCCCATTGGGTTTTCATGGGATCCCAGTGGGTTTGGGGCCATGCCATTGGGTTTTTATGGGATCCAGTGGGTTTGGGGCCATCCCATTGGGTTTTTATGCGATCCCAGTGGGTTTGGGGCTATCCCATTGGGTTTTCATGGGATCCCAGTGGGTTTAGGGCAATCCCATTGGATTTCTGCAGGATCCCACTGTGTTTGGGGCTATCCCATTGGGTTTTTATGGGATCCCAGGGAGGTTTTGGGGTCACAGACCTGCTCCCTGTTGCTCTCCAGGGCGGGCAGCACCTCCTTGACCGTCCTCTCCACCAGCACCCCCCCCGACCATGCGGAAACATTTCCGGGTGGGATCCACCTCGCGCAGGGTCTCGATCACCAGCCTGGGGCAGCATCCAAAATACACCCCCAAATATATCCCAAAGGCACCCTGATCCACCCCAAATGCACCCCAAAGACACCCTGATCCACCCCAAAACACACCACAAATCCCCACCCCAAATCTCTGTCCCAAATCCACCCCAAAATCCCCATCTGAAATCCAACCAATCCTGACCCCAAGTCCCCATCCCAAATCCACCCCAATCCTGATCCCAAACCCCTGTCCCAAATATAATATCCCAAATCTCCACCCCAAATCTGTCCCAAATCCACCCCAATCCCAACCCCAAAATCTGCCCCAAATCCCCATCCCAAATCTACCCCAATCCTGATCCCAAAATCCCATCCCAAATTCACCCAAATCTCCATCCCAAATCCCAAACTCAAACTCCCAATCCCCATTCTAAACCCCCAGTCCTGACCCTGAACCCCTGACCCCAAACCCACAATCCCTGCTCAAAACCCCCCAATCCCGACCCCCAACCCCCAAATCCTGACCCCAGATCCCCAATCCCAACCCCAAACCCCCAATTCCTCAATCCCAACCCCTAAACCACCCAAATCCCATACCCAATCCCGACTCCAAATCCACAATCCCCAAACTCCTCAATCCTGACCCCAAACCCCCAATCTTGATCCCAAACCCCCAGATCCAGACCCCAAACTCCCCCAAACCCCTGACCCCAATCCCAACCCCAAACTCCCCAATCCTTACCCCAACTCCCCCAATCCTGACCCCAAACCCCTGATCCCAATCCCAACCCCAAACCCCCCAAATCCCAATCCTGACCACAAACCCTCCAGTCCCAGCCCCAAATCCTGACCCCAAACTTCCAGTCCTGCTCCCAAACCCCCAATCTGGACCCCAAATCCCCTAATCCTGCTCCCAAACTCCCCAATCCCTCTCCCAAACCCCCTAAACCCCTAATCCCGCTCCCAAACCCCCCAATCCCGACCCCAAACCCCCCAATCCCGCTCCCAAACCCCCCAATCCCGACCCCAAACCCCCCAAGCCCCCTGACCCACGTGTGCTCGTTGAGCTCCAGCTCCAGCTCGGCTGCCTTGGAGGCCAAACCCCGCTGGTCCTGCCGCAGGCGGTTAAACCGGGACACCACCTGCGCCAAACTGGGATCACTGGGGGCACTGGGATGGACTGGGAGGGCTGGGAGCCACTGGGAATGGACTGGGAATGGACTGGGAATGGACTGGGATGGACTGGGAGCCGCTGGGAGGGGACTGGGATGGGCTAGGAACCACTGGGAAGGACTGGGAATGGACTGGGAGCCACTGGGAGGGGCTGGGAATAGACTGGGATGGGAACTGGGGTAACTGGGAGCCACTGGGAGGGGCTGGGAATGGACTGGGAGCCACTGGGAAGAACTGGGAGGGGTTGGGAATAGACTGGGAGGGCTGGGAGGGGCTGGGAATGGACTGGGAGCCACTGGGAGGGGCTGGGAATGGACTGGGATGGGAACTGGAACAAACTGGGAGCCACTGGGATGGACTGGAGGAGGAACTGGGTGCCACTGGAATGGACTGGGAATGGACTGGGAACCACTGGGAGGGGCTGGGATGGGAACTGGGTTAACTGGGAGACACTGAGATGGACTGGGATGGGAACTGGGATAACTGGGAGACACTGGGATGGACTGGGGGGGCACTGGGATTGACTGGGATGGGACTGGGATGGGAACTGGGTTAATTGGGAGCCACTGGAGCAGGCTGGGAATGGACTGGGATGGGAACTGGGGTAACTGGGACACTGGGATGGACTGGGGGGGGGGCTGGGAATGGACTGGGATAGCACTGGGAGCGACTGGGAGGGGCTGGGAATGGACTGGGAGCCACTGGGATGTGAACTGGGTTAACTGGGAGTCACTGGAACGGGCTGGGATGGACTGGAAATGGACTGGGAGGGACTGGGATGGGACTGAGAGGGGCTGGGAGAAGTTGGGATGGGCTAGGGACTGGGATGGACTGGGAGCAGTCTGGGAATGGTCTGGGAGGGACTGGAAGGGAACTGGGTTAACTGGGAGCCACTGGGACAGACTGGGGGCGGGGGGGGGGGTGGCTGGGAGAGGCTGCCATGGGACTGGGATGGCGCTGGGATCAACTGGGAGCAGACCAGAAATGGTGTGGGGTAAACTAGGATAGGGATAACCAAGATTGGGGAACTTGTAATGGGATAAACTGGCATGGACTGGGATAAACCAGGCTAAACTGGGCTAAACTGGGAATGGGATTGCATTGGGATAAACTGGGATTGGCAAACTGGGAAGGGGATTGGACTGGGATCAACTGGGCTTGGGATTGGAAAGCTCAGAATGGGATGGATTGGGGTAAACTGGGATTGGATTGGGGTAAACTGGGATTGGATTGGGATCAACTGGGGTAAACTGGGATAAACTCCTGGGATTGGGATCCCACTGGGGCTTGGGGAACCCCCTGGGATGAGGGGGAACCCCCCAACCCCACAGCAGCGCCTCCCACTCGTTCCCCAATCCTAGCCCCCCATTATCAGAGACCCCTCCCCATTATCAGAGACCCCTCCCCATTCTCAGAATCTCACCCCTTGTTATCAAAGACCCTTCCCTGTTATCAGGGACCCCTCCCCATCATCAGGGTCTCCTCCTTGTTACCAAGGACCCCTCCACCGTTATCGGAGACCCCTCCTCATTATCAAAGACCCCTCCCCGTTATCAGGGACAACCCCCCCCCTCATGCCCAGGGCCCCCCCCTCCATTTCCCCATCCCATTATCAGGGACCCGTCCCCTCTTATTAGGGGACTCCTCCCCATTATCAGGGTCTCCTCCTTGTTATCAGGGACCCCTCCCCGTTATCAGGAACCCCCCTCCGTTATCAGGGACCCCTCCCACAGGCGCCCCCCCCTCATCCCCACCTTCCCCTCCGCTCCGCTTCCCCCCGCACTCCCCTCACTCCTCCTCCCCTCACATCTCCCGGGGACCCCTCCCCGGTTCCCGTTTCCCCCGGACCTGCTCAGCGCTCAGCCCCTTCCCCGCCGGGGCCGCCCCTCGCCCCTTCCCCGGCTCCGCCATCTTGTCCCGCGAGGCTCCGCCCTTTCCGCTCCCGCCGCGCTCGCGCCGCCGGCACTTCCGGCCGCCATCTTGGGTGCGGGTGAGGCGGCGCCGCCGCCATCTTGGGTGAGGGCAGCGCCTGGAGGGGGGGACTTTGGCCGCGCTGCCGCCGGCGGGGAATGTGCGGGAACGGGGGAAGAAAACGGGGAAAAATGGGGGGAAAAAAGGGGTTTGGGATGGGGGGAGGGCAGAGGTGCTGGGATTTGGGGGTTGGGGACGGTTTGGGGGGGTGGGGGCAGTTCGGGGTCCAAATTGGGGCAGTTTGGGAGGTCTGGGGTAGTTTTGGGGGGTGTGCAGTTCGGGGTCCAAATTGGGGCAGTTTGGGAGGTCTGGGGTAGTTTTGGGGGGTGTTTGGGGCAGTTTAAGGGGGTCTCGGGTAGTTTTGGGGGTGTTTGGGGCAGTTTGAGGGGGTCTGGGGCAGTTTTGGGGGTGTTTGGGGCATTTTGGGGGGTGTTTGGGGTAGTTTTGGGGGTATTTGGGGCAGTTTTAGGGGGTTCCAGGTCCTCCCCAGCCGTGTGACCCCTCCCCAATTTGGGGTGTCCCCCCCCCCCAGGCTGAGGGTGGCCCCCCGGGCCCTGCTGTGCTGCCCCCCGAGAGCCTCGAGAGCCCCCCAGAGCTCCAGCACCGCGGGCAGGTACGGGGGAGAACCCCAAAAACCCCAGGGGGAACCCAAAAATCCTTTGGAGAACCCCGGAAATCCCAAGGGGAGGCTGAGGGTGACCCTGGGTGTGACCCCAGGTGTGTGGGGGGGGGTTCAAGAGTGACCTTGCCCCCCATGGGGTCACCTGGGGGGTGTCCCTGTCCCCAAGAGGGCGACCCCAGTGCCCATGGGGTGCCCTTGGTGTCCCCTCCCCAGAGCCCCATGGCCATGTCCTCCTGTCACTGTGAGGTGCCCTCAGTGTCCCATAGCCATGGCAGTGTCCCCAGGCCTGTTGGTGTCCCCCCTGTCCCTCACAGTGTCCCCCTCCTGCAGCCTCACAGCCATGGCAGTGTCCCCAGGCCCATTAGTGTCCCCTGTCCCTCTGAGGTCCCCTCAGTGTCCTGTAGCCATGACAGTGTCTCCAGGCCCATTGGTGTCCCTTGTCCCTCTGAGGTCCCTTCAGTGTCCCATGGCCATGGCAGCATCCCCAGACCCTGCAGTGTCCCCAGGCCCATTGGTGTCCCCCTGTCCCTCACAATGTCCCCTCCCCGCAGCCCTGTGGCCATGGCAGTGTCCCCAGGCCCCTCGGTGTCCCCGTGTCCCTTACAGTGTCCCCTCCCCACAGCCATGGCAGCTCCCTCAGACCCCTCGGTGTCCCCAGGCCCATTGGTGTCCCCCTGTCCCTCACGGTGTCCCCTCCCCACAGCCCTGTGGCCATGGCAGCATCCCCAGCCCCTGCAGTGTCCCTATAGGCCCGTCAGTGTCCCCAGAACCTCGGTGTCCCCGTGTCCCTCATGGTGTCCCCTTCCCCGCAGCCCCACAGCCATGGCAGCGTCCCCAGCCCCTGCAGTGTCCCCAGGCCCATTAGTGTCCCTCACAGTGTCCCCTCCCTGCAGCCCCACAGCCATGGCAGCGTCCCCAGACCCCTCGGTGTCCCCGTGTCCATCATGGTGTCCCCTTCCCTGCAGCCCCACAGCCATGGCAGCGTCCCCAGACCCCTCGGTGTCCCCGTGTCCATCATGGTGTCCCCTTCCCCGCAGCCCCACAGCCATGGCAGTGTCCCCAGCCCCTGCAGTGTCCCCAGGCCCATTGGTGTCCCTCTGTCCCTCACAACGTCCCTTCCCCACAGCCCTGTGGCCATGGCAGCACCCCCAGCCCCTGCAGTGTCCCCAGACCCCTCGGTGTCCCTCACAATGTCCCCTCCCTGCAGCCCCACAGCCATGGCAGCACCCCCAGCCCCCTCGGTGTCCCCGGGCCCCGCGGGCGGGCTGGTGGCGGTGGCGCAGGTGACATCCACGGCGGACAAGGAGCACAACTGGCAGCAGTGCTCGGCCCTGGTGCGGCGCGCGGCCGCCATGGGCGCCCGGGCCGTGTTCCTGCCCGAGGGCTTCGACTTCATCGGGGACAGCGCCCAGCACAGCCTGCAGCTGGCAGAGCCCCTGCACGGGGACACCGTGCGGCGCTACCGGCAGCTGGCCAGGTACGGGCACCGCGGGTGGCACTGTGTGTGTCCCTGGGGGATGGCACCATGTGTCCCCGGGGAACGTCACTGTGTGTGTGTCACCGTGTGTCTCCAGGGAATGACAGTGTGTGTGTCACTGTGTGTCCCCAGGGAATGACTCTGTGTGTGTGTGTGTGTGTGACCGTGTGTCCCCAGGGAATGACACCGTGTATCCATAGGGAATGTCACTGTGTGTCCTTAAGGAATGTCACTGTGTGTCCCCAGGGGATGGCACTGTGTGTCCCCAGGGAATGTCACTGTGTGTCCCCAGGGAATGTCACCATGTGTATGTCACTGTGTGTTCTCAGGGAATGGGACCTTGTGTTCCTAGGGAATGTCATTGTGTGTCCCCAGGGAATGTCACTGTGTGTGTGTGTCACCGTGTGTCCCCAGGGAATGACAGTGTGTGCGTCACTGTATGTGTCCAGGGAATGTCACCGTGTGTCCCTAGGAAATGCACTGTGTCCCTAGGGAATGTCACCGTGTGTGTCCTTAGGGAATGTCACTCCATGTCCCCAGACCATGTCAGCCTGTGTCCCCAGCGAGTGTCACCATGTGTGTCCCCAGGGAATGTGCTGGTGTGTCCCCAGGGAATGTCACTACATGTCCCTAGAGGTGGTCACTGTATGTATGTCACCATGTGTGTCCCTATGGAATGTCACCATGTGTCCCCAGACCATGTCACTCTCTGACACCGTGTGTCCCTAGGGAGTGTCACTGTGTGTCCACAGGGAATGTCACCACATGTCCTTAGGGAATGTGACAGTGTGTCCCCAGGCCCTGTCCCTCTGTCTCCCCAGGAATGTCCCTCTGTGTCCCCAGGAGTGTCCCTGTGTGTCCCCAGGCCCTGTCCCTGTGTCCCAGGAGTGTCCCTGTGTGTCCCCAGGGACTGTGACGTCTGGCTGTCCCTCGGGGGTTTCCACGAGCGTGGCCAGGACTGGGACAGCACCGGCCGCATCTACAACTGTCACCTGCTGCTGGACAACTCGGGTGGGACACGGCCTTCCTGACCCTGTGTCACCCCTGTGTCACCCTGTGCCACCCCGTGCCACCCCGTGCCACCCCTGTGCCCCCCAGATCCCCAATCCCTGTGTCCCTGACATTCCCAACCCTTGGATGTCCCTGTGTCACCACATGTCCCCACTATTCCCACCCCCTGGCTGTCCCTGTGTCCCCAATCCTTGTGGCTGTCCCCAGGTGTGGTGGTGACCTCATACCTGCATCATTTCCAACCCTTGGCTGTCCCCACTGTCCCCAATGTCCCCATGGCTGTCCCCAGTCCCCCTGTGGTGGCTGTCCTCAGTGTCCCCAACCCCCCGGTGGCTGTCCCCAGGCTCTGTGGTGGCTGTCCCCAGTGTCCCCAACCCCCTGGTGGCTGTCCCCAGGCTCCGTGGTGGCTGTCCCCAGTGTCCCCAACCCCCCTGGTGGCTGTCCCCAGGCTCCGTGGTGGCTGTCCCCAGTGTCCCCAACCCCCCCGGTGGCTGTCCCCAATGTCCCCAGGCTCGCTGGTGGCCCTGTACCGCAAGCTGCACCTGTTTGACGCGGCGCTGCCGGGGCAGCCGGCGCTGAGCGAGAGCTCCTTCACCAACCCCGGCCAGGAGCTGCTGCCCCCCATCGACACCCCCGTGGGCAAGGTACGGCCCCTGCTGTCCCCAAGTGTCCCCAAGTGTCCCCTGCCTTCACTGATCCCACATATTCCCAAAAAAAACCTGGGGTTGGTTCTGTGTCACAGCCTGAGGTACCCAGAGCTGACCCCAGCCCCTGACCTCACAGTGCCCAGGGGTGTCCCCAAGTGTCCCCAGGGCTGTCCCAGGGTGTCCCCAGTGTCCCCAGGTGGGGCTGGCCTTGTGCTGTGACCTGCACTTCCCAGAGCTGGCCCCATGCTCAGGGCTGTCCCAAGGCTGTCCCCAGGGTGTTCCCAATGTCCCCAGGTGGGGCTGGCTGTGTGCTATGACCTGCGTTTCCCACGGCTGTCCCCAGGTGTCCCCAAATGTCCCCAGGGTGTCCCTGCATGTCCCCTGGGTGTCCCTTGCCGTCACTGACCCCTGGTATTCCCAAAGAACAGCTGGAATTGGCTGCAGGCTGTGGGTCCTGGAGCTGGCCCTGCCCTGACCCCTGATCCTGCCCATGTCCCCAGGGCTGTCCCTGGATGTCCCCAGGTGTCCCCAATGTCCCCTCACTGTCCCCAGCTGGGGCTGGCCGCGTGCTGTGCCCTGCATTTCCCAGAGCTGGCCCTGGCTGTCATAAGGCTGTCCCCAGGTGTCCCCAATGTCCCCAATGTCCCCGATGTCCCCAGGTGGGGCTGGCTGTGTGCTGTGACCTGCGCTTCCCAGGGCTGTCCCCATGCTCAGGGCTGTCCCCAATGTCCCCGATGTCCCCAGGTGGGGCTGGCCGTGTGCTATGACCTGCGCTTCCCAGGGCTGTCCCCAGGTGTCCCCAATGTCCCCGATGTCCCCAGGTGGGGCTGGCCGTGTGCTATGACCTGCGCTTCCCGGAGCTGTCCCCATGCTCAGGGCTGTCCCCAATGTCCCCAATGTCCCCGATGTCCCCAGGTGGGGCTGGCCGTGTGATATGACCTGCGCTTCCCAGGGCTGTCCCCAGGTGTCCCCAATGTCCCCATTGTCACCCAGGTGGGGCTGGCCGTGTGCTACGACCTGCAGTTCCCAGAGCTGGCCCCATGCTCAGGGCTGTCCCCAATGTCCCCAATGTCCCCAGGTGGGGCTGGCCGTGTGCTATGACCTGCGCTTCCCAGGGCTGTCCCCAGGTGTCCCCAATGTCCCCAATGTCCCCAATGTCCCCAGGTGGGGCTGGCCGTGTGCTATGACCTGCGCTTCCCGGAGCTGGCCCAGGCCCTGCGCGGGGCCGGTGCCCAGATCCTGACCTTCCCCTCGGCCTTCACCGTCCCCACCGGAGCTGCGCACTGGGAGGTGAGGGGACACGCTGGGGGCCTTGGGGACACTGCAGGGACTGGGGACACTGTGAGAGGGGTTGGGGTCACTCATGGGGGGCTGGGGACACTCAACGGGAGGAGTTGGGGACTCCCTGGGGGGCTTGGGGACACCGCTGTCTCCACAGGTGCTGCTGCGAGCCCGTGCCATTGAGTGCCCCCCTTGGTGACAGCACTGTCCCCCTTGGTGACACCCCTGCATGCCCATGCCCTCTGTGCCCCCCTCAGTGACGCTGCTGTCCCCTCAGGTGCTGCTGCGTGCCCGTGCCATCGAGTGCCCCCTGGGTCCCCTTTAGTGACACCCCTGTGTGCCCATGTCCCCCCTCAGTGTCCCTGCTGTCCCACAGGTGCTGCTGCGTGCCCATGTCACTGAGTGTCCCCCTTGGTGACCCTGCTGTCCCACAGGTGCTGCTGCGTGCCCATGCCATCGAGTGCCCCCCATGTCCCCCTGTCCCCCTGAGTGTCCCCCTGTCCCCAGGTGCTGCTGCGTGCCCATGCCATCGAGTGCCCCGTGTCCCTGTCCCCTGAGTGTCCCCCTGTCCCCCTGAGTGTCCCCCTGTCCCCAGGTGCTGCTGCGTGCCCGTGCCATCGAGTGCCAGTGCTACGTGGTGGCCGCGGTGCAGACCGGCCGCCACAACGCCGCCCGCGCGTCCTTCGGTCACTCGCTGGTGGCCGATCCCTGGGGCACCGTGGTGGCACAGTGCCACGAGGGGCCGGGGCTGTGCCTGGCCCACATCGACCTGCCCTACCTGGAGCAGGTGCGCAGGCAGCTGCCCGTGCACGGCCACCGCCGGGGGGACATCTACGGGACACTGACGGGGACACCGACGGGGACACCGGGGACGTGATGGCACCGGGCGAATCCGCTCGGAGTTTGCACCGGGTTTGCTTTTCTGTCCCCAAAATGGGATGGCACAGTGTGTCCTCCTTGTTCTTTTTGGGGTTCCAAATCAGCCCCAAATCCCCTACAATTCAGCCATAAATCAGCCCCAAATCTGCATCAATTCAGCCCCAAATCAGCCCCAAATCTGCATCAATTCAGTCCCAAATCAGCCCCAAATCAGTCCCAAATCTGCCCTTTTGTCCCCAAAATGGGATGGCACAGTGTGTCCCCCCTGCTCTTTTTGGGGTCCCAAATCAGCTCCAAATCCCCATCAAATCTGCACCAATTCAACCCCGAATCAGTTCCAAATCTGCATCAATTCAGCCCCAAATCAGCTCCAAATCCCCATCAAATCTGCACCAATTCAGACCCAAATCTGCCCTTTTTGTCCCCAAAATGGAACAGCATAATGTGCCTCCCTGCTCTTTTTGGGGTCCCAAATCAGTCCCAAATCCCCATCAACTCAGACCCAAATCAGCCCCAAATATGCATCAATTCAGTCTGAAATCAATCCCAAATGTGCATTAATTCAGTCCCAAATCAGCTCCAAATCCCCATCAAATCTGCACCAATTCAGACCCAAATCTGCCCCTTTTGTCCCCAAAATGGGATGGCATAATGTGTCCCCTTACTTTATTGGGGGTCCCAAATCAGCCTCAAATCTCCATCAACTAAGCCCTAAATCAGCCCCAAATCTGCACCAATTGAGCCCCAAAATAGCCCCAAACCTGCCCCAGTTCAGCCCTAAATCAGTCCCAAATCTGCCCTTTTGTCCCCAAAATGGAATGGCACAATGTGTCCTCCCTGCTCTTTTTTGGGGTTCCAAATCAGCCCCAAATCTGCATCAATCCAGCCCCAAAATCTTCTCCCAAATCAGTCCCAAATCTTCACCAATTCAGCCCTGAATCAGCCCCAAATCTGCCCCTTTTGTCCCCAAAATGAAATGCCACAACGTGTCCTCCCTGCTCTCCTTTTGGGGTCCCCACTCTTTTTTGGGGTCCTGATTCAGCCCCAAATTTGTTCCAATTCTGCATCAATTTAGCCCAAAATTGATTCTGAATCTGCCCCAAATCGGCTCCAATTTACACCAAATGTGCTCCAAATCAGCCTTTTTGTCCCCAAAGTGAAACAGCACAAGGTGTCCCCCTTCTTTTTTGGGGGGACTCCCAAATCTGCTCTGAAACTGCCCCAAAATCAACCCCAAATCTGCTTCAAATCAGCCCCAAATCTGCCCCAATTCACCCCAAAATCTGCATCAATTCACCCCCAAATCAGCCCAAATTTGCACTGAATCAGCACTTTTATCCCCAAATGGGATTTCCACTTTTTGGGGGGTTCCCCGCTTTTTTGGGGGTCCTGGGGGAGGAATTTCTTTCTATTAAAATTTGAAAAATACAAAAATCCCAGGAAATTACCCCAAAGTGTGAAGGAATTTTGGGATGGGAGGGATTGGGGACAACCCTGAACCCCTCAAGTGCTGGATGGGAATGGGGGAAAAAACAAGAAAAATGGGGAAAACTCCATCCCCATCAGGTTTTGGGGGAAAATGGGAATTTCTGGGGGGAAAAACAGGGATTTGGGGAGGAAAATGGGAATTTTGGGGGAAATTGCCATTTGTTTTTCGTTGTTGTTTTTAATGGATATAAAAGAGGGAAAAATGAGGGGAAAAAACATGGAAAATACAAGGAGAAAGAATTTGACGAAGAAAATGAGGAATTCTGGAATATCCCAAAACCCCAATCCCCAAATCTCTAAGGGACCAGTGTCCCTTAGGTTCTTAAAATGAGATTTTTTTAATCCTTTTTTTTGGCCCTTTTTAATGGATGTAAAAGAAGAAAAACCAATGGAAAACAAAAGAAGGAAGAATTTGACAAGAAAAACGACGAATTCTGGAATATTCCATCTTGCCAATGCTTCCCACACCTCAAATCCCCAATTCTGGCTTTTTCCTGTTGTTTTTAATGGATAAAAAGAACAGGAAACAGGGGAAAATCACAGAAAACACAAAGAAAAGGAGGAATTGACAGAGAAAAATGAGAAATTCTGGAATATTCTGTTATTCCGGGGTTTCCCAAACCTCAAATCCCAATTCCCAGCGTGTTGCACCCAATGGGATTTTTACCTTTTCATCCCATTTTTAATGGATAAAAAAGAAAAGAAAATAGGGAGAAAACGTGGAAAACACAAAGGGAGGAATTAAAAGGGAAAAGTGAGGAATTCTGGAATATTCCACACCCTCAATCTCCAAATCCCAGTGCGTGGCACCAATGGGATTTTTGCCTTTTCATCGCATTTTTAATGGATACAAAACAAAAGAAAATGGGAAGAAAACATGGAAAACACGAGGGGGAATTGACAGGGAAAAGTGAGGAATTCTGGAATATTCCACAGCCCGAATCCCAGGGATTTTTGCCTTTCCATCATCATTTTTAATGGATAAAAAAGAAAAGAAAATAGGGAGAAAAGAAAACAGGGAGAAAACATGGAAAACGCAAAGAAAAGTAGGAATTGACAGGACAAAGTGAGGAATTCTGGAATATTCCACACCCCAAATCCCAGCATGTTGCACCAATGGGATTTTTGCCTTTTCGTCCCATTTTTAATGGACAAAAAGAAATAAAACGTGAAGAAAACATGGTAAACACAAGGAGGAATTGACAGGACAAAGTGAGGAATTGACAGAAAAAAAGTGAGGAATTCTGGAATATTCCACACCCCCAATCCCAGCATGTGGCACCAATGGGATTTTTGCCTTTTCATCACCAGTTTTCATGGACAAAAAGAAAGAAAATGGGAAGAAAACATGGATAACAAAAAAGAAAAGAAGGAACTGACAGGACAAAGTGAGGAATTCTGGAATATTCCACATCCCAGCATGTGGCACCAATGGGATTTTTGCCTTTTCATCACCAGTTTTCATGGACAAAAAGAAAGAAAATGGGAAGAAAACATGGATAACAAAAAAGAAAAGAAGGAACTGACAGGACAAAGTGAGGAATTCTGGAATATTCCACACCCCCAATCCCCAAATCCCAACTTGTGGCACCAATGGGATTTTTGCCTTTTCATCACCATTTTTAATGGATACAAAAGAAAAAACAGGAGGGGAAAACCCCATGGAAAACACAAGGAGAACCCATCAGGAACCCCCAAAAACCTTCAAATCCTGGAATATCCCACAGCTCCAACCAAGAATATTCCATTGGTCCAGGGTTTCCCACACCTCAGATCCCCAATTCCGACTGCACCAATGGGGTTGTTGCCTTTTTCTTGCCACTTTTAATGGATAAAAAAGAAAATAGGGAGAAAACATGGAAAACGCAAAGAAAAGGAGGAATTGACAGGACAAAGTGAGGAATTCTGGAATATTCCACACCCCAAATCCCAGCATGTTGCACCAATGGGATTTTTGCCTTTTCGTCCCATTTTTAATGGACAAAAAGAAATAAAACGTGAAGAAAACATGGTAAACACAAGGAGGAATTGACAGGACAAAGTGAGGAATTGACAGAAAAAAAGTGGGGAATTCTGGAATATTCCACACCCCCAATCCCAGCATGTGGCACCAATGGGATTTTTGCCTTTTCATCACCAGTTTTCATGGACAAAAAGAAAGAAAATGGGAAGAAAACATGGATAACAAAAAAGAAAAGAAGGAACTGACAGGACAAAGTGAGGAATTCTGGAATATTCCACATCCCAGCATGTGGCACCAATGGGATTTTTGCCTTTTCATCACCATTTTAATGGATACAAAAGAAAAAACAGGAGGGGAAAACCCCATGGAAAACACAAGGAGAACCCATCAGGAACCCCCAAAAACCTCCAAATCCCGGAATCCCCCACACCTCCAACCCTCCCCAAATCCACGAGCGAAACTCCGCCAAAGAACCGGGGGAAGGGGGGGGAAGAGGAAAAAACCAGGAAAATCCCAAAAAAACCCCGAAAAAACCCAAACTGGGGGCAGGGCGGGGGTGAATCCCTCAGGGAGCCGTGTGGAGCATCAAGTTCCTGAGGAGTTTCTGGCGACCCAACTCGTAATCCTCCTCGTCCACGTTGACCAGCAGCTTGATGGCCTCGTGGCCCACGGCCTGTTTGAGCGAGTCCGTGATGAAGACGCCCTTGAGGGCCTCCAGGAGGGAGCCGTTGATGTAATCCCGCCAGAAGGCGTCGAGGTAGGTGAGCTCCGAGAATTTGATGTCGCAGATGATGGAGCCCAAATCCCGCGATTTCAGGATGGTGTTGGCCTGGTTGAAGCGCTCGAACTGGCGCTCCAGAGGGTCCTGCTTGTTGGAGAAGACGTTGCCGTGCAGGGCGGAGTCGTGCTGGCAGTACTCGGCGCGCACGCGCAGGCGGATGTCTGGGATTGGGGGAAATGGGGGATTTAGGATTGGGGGGAAAATGGGGGATTTCGGGGGTTTGAGATTGGGGGAATGGGGCTTAGGGATTGGGGGATGTGAGGTTTACGGGGTTTGGGAATGGGGTTTAGGGACTGGCAGTACTCGGCGCGCACGCGCAGGCGGATGTCTGGGCGTGGGGGAAATGGGGGATTTAGGATTGGGGGGAAAATGGGGGATTTAGGGGGTTTGAGACTGGGGGAATGGGGGGTTTATGGGGTTTGAGATTGAGGGGATGTGGGGTTTTGGGATTGGGGAATGTGAGGTTTAGAGGGTTTGGGATTGGGGAAAATGGGGGGTTTGGGATTGGGGGAATGGGGGAATGTGGGGTTTGGGATTGGAGAAATGGGGTTTAGGGGGTTTGGGATTGGGGAATGTGGGGTTTGGGATTGGGGATATGTGGGGTTTAGGACTGGCAGTACTCGGCGCACACATGCAGGCGGATGTCTGAGCGTGGGGGAAATGGGGGATTTAGGATTGGGGGAAAATGGGGGATTTAGGGGGTTTGAGATTGGGGAAAATGGGGTTAATGGGGTTTAGAGGGTTTGGGATTGGGGAATGTGGGGTTTTAGGGGGTTTGGGATTGGAGAATGTGGGGTTTAGGATTCCGGATATGTGGGGTTTAGGGACTGGCAGTACTCGGCATACACACGCAGGCGGATGTCTGGGGATGGGGAAATGGGGGATTTAGGGGTTTGGAATTGAGGAGATCTGGGGTTTAGGGATTGGGGAAAATGGGGTTTAGGGGGTTTGGGATTGGGGAATGTGGGGTTTGGGACTGGGGGAATGTGGGGTTTAGGGACTGGCAGTACTCGGCGCGCACGCGCAGGCGGATGTCTGGGGATGGGGGAAATGGGGGATTTAGGATTGGGGGATGTGGGGTTTAGGGGTTTTAGGGGGTTTGGGATTGGGGTTTAGGGATTGGGGGATGTGGGGTTTAGGGGGTTTGGGACTGGGGAAACGGGGTTTGGGATGGGGGGAATGTGGGATTTAGGGGGTTTAGGGGGTTTGGGATTGGGGGAATGGGGTTTGGGATGGGGGGAATGTGGGATTTAGGGGGTTTAGGGCGTTTGGGATTGGAGGATGTGGGGTTTAGGGACTGGCAGTACTCGGCGCGCATGTGCAGGCGGATGATCCCACACCCCCTCTCACCGCAGGTCTGTTTCTCCCTGGGGATCCCAATCCCACATTCCCACATTTCAAATCCCAATCCCACAATCCCAATCCCGATCCCACACCCCCTCTCACCGCAGGTCTGTTTCTCCCTGGGGATCACATTCCCACATTCCCAATCCCAATCCTGATCCCACACCCCCTCTCACCGCAGGTCTGTTTCTCCCTGGGGATCACATTCCCACATTCCCAATCCCACATTCCCACCCCTCTCACCGCAGGTCTGTTTCTCCTTGGGGTCGGGGGTCGCTGACTTTCTCCGTTTCCGTTGGCTCCCGAGGAGGCTCCGGGCCCGGCCCGGGCGCTTGGGGCCCAGCTGGGGCCCCCCCGGGGGGCAGCACAGGGATGGGTGGGGGGCAGGCACTGGGAATAGGGGGGGGAAATGGGGTTAGGGACCCCAAATCCAACCCCACAGACCCCAAAACCATCCAGGGAACCCCAAAGCCATCCCAAACCCCATCCCGGGGGCAGGCACTAGGACATGGGGAGAAATGGGGTCAGGGACCCCAAATGCAACCCCAGAGATCCCAAATGCAACCCCAGAGATCCCAAATCCATCCATCAGATCTGGGCACAGTCCCCCAAACCCAGAGCCCTGTGAGGCTCCAGAGTCGGGAACTTTGGGATGATCCCAAGGGGGTGGTGACCCCAAATGGGAGTGATGATCCCAAATTGGGGTGATGACCCCAGAAAGGGGTGATCACCCCAAAGGAGGGGGTCATAGTAATCCCAAATAAGGATGACAATGACCTCAAAAGGGGACAGTGACCCCAAAGGGTGACAATAACCCCAAATGGGGGTGACAATGCCCCAAAAGGGGATGGTGACCCTAAAAGGGGACGGTGACCCAAAATGGGGATGACAGCGATCCCAAATGGGGATGGTGGCCCCAAAGGGTGACAATGACCCCAAAGGGGACAGTGACCCCAAAAGGAGGTGACGGTGACCCCGGGGGTCCGTACCTGATTTGTGGGGGTGGCCGAGGCCGGGCGGGGCCCCCCCGGGCGCGCGGGGGGTCACGTAGCGGATGGACGTCTCCTCCAGGTACTTGTCCACCAGGTCCGGGCAAACTGGGGATGGAAACGGGAATGTCACCGGAATGTCACCGAAATGTCACGGGAATGGCACTGGGGATGGCACGGGGACATCAGGGAATGGCAGATAATGGTGTGACCCCAATACCCCCATACAGTGTGACAGTGACCCCATATATCACGATATATCGCGACAGGAACTCACTGGGGCGCTGTCTCTTGAGGCTGACATAGGGCAGCAGGTCGTGGCGGGTGATGGTGTGACCCCAATACCCTGATATCACCCCATATATCGTGATATATCACAACATATCGCGACACCCACCTGGGCGCCATCTCTTGAGGCTGACGTAGGGCATCAGCTTGTGGTGGGTGATGATGTGACCCCAATACCCCGATATCACTGCATGTATCATGACAATGACCCCACATATCACGATATATCGTGACAGGCACTCGCCGGGGCGCCGCCTCTTGAGGCTGATGTAGGACAGCAGCTCATGGCGGGTGACGATGTGACCCCAATATCACCCCATATATCACGATATATCACAACAGGCGCTCACCAGGGCGCCATCTCTTGAGCCTGACGCAGGGCAGCAGCTCATGGTGGGTGATGATGTCACCCCCATACCTTGATACCACCCCGTATATTGCGATATATCGCGAGAGAGTTACCTGGGCACAGCTGTTTGAGGCTGATGTAGGGTAGCAGCTTGTGGTGGGTGATGATGTCACCCCAATACCCCCAGACACTGACAGTGACCCCATATATCCTGAGAGTGACCCCATATATCGCGACAGGCACTTACTGGGGTGCCGCCTCTTGAGGCTGACGTAGGGCAGCAGCTCGTGGCGGGTGATGATGTGACCCCAATACGCTGATATCACCCCATATATCGCGATATATCGCGACAGACACTCACCAGGGCACCACCTATTGAGGCTGACATAGGGCAGCAGCTCGTGGCGGGTGATGATGTGACCCCCCCATACCCCAATACCACCCCACATATCACAACAGTGACTCCGTGTATCGCGATATATCGTGAGAGGCACTCACCGGGGCACCGCCTCTTGAGGCTGACGTAGGGCAGCAGGTCGTGGCGGGTGATGATGTCACCCCAATACTACCCCAAATATTGCGAGTATGACCCTGTATATCACAACATATCGCGATATATCACGACGGACACTCACCAGTGCGCCGTCTCTTCAGGCTGACGTAGGGCAGCAGCTCGTGGCAGGTGATGATATGACCCCAATACCCCGATATCACCCCGTATATCACAACAGTGACCCCATATGTCACAGTATATCGTGACAGGCACTTACCGGGGCACCGTCTCTTGAGGCTGACGTAGGGCAGCAGCTCGTGGCAGGTGATGACGTGACCCCAATACCCCGATAACACCCCATATATTGCGATATATCATGATATATCATGACGGACACTCACCGGGGCGCCGTCTCTTCAGGCTGACGTAGGGCAGCAGCTCGTGGTGGGTGATGACATGACTCCAATACCACCCCAAATATTGCGATATATCGCGATATATCGCGACGGACACTCACCGGGGCGCCGCCTCTTGAGGCTGACGTAGGGCAGCAGGTCGTGGCGGGTGATGATGCGCAGCAGCTGCAGCAGCTGCCGCAGGTTGCTCTCGTCGCAGCGGCCCTGGCGCTCCAGGGCCAGCAGGAAGTCGCGGCCCGAGCGGATGCGGCCGCGCTCGGCCTCGTCCAGCACGTCCACGAAGAGGAAGGAGAGCACGCGCACGTCGCGGTGCGTCAGCTGCGCGCCCACGATGTCGAACATGCGGTGCAGCGAGTACAGGCCCTGCTCGCGCTCGCCCGGCTCCTCCGGCCACGGCACCGCGCCACCCGTGCCACCGTGGGCACTGCCGGCGCCTGCGCCGCGCTTCCGACCCGCCATGGGCACCTGGGGACAGACATGGGGTCAGTGGGACGTGGCACTACTGGCACTGCCACCGCCTGCGCCGCGCTTCCGCCCCGCCATGGGCACCTGGGGACATGGGATCAGATATGGGGTCAGTGGGGACACAGGGTCAGTCCAGGACTGGCTCCTCCGGCCACGGCACCGTGCCACCTGTGCCACCGTTGGCACTGCCAGCGCCTGCACCACGCTTCTGACCTGCCATGGGCACCTGGGGACATGGGGACAGACACGGGGTCAGTGGGACATGGCACTATTGGCACTGCCATGCTTCCGCCCCGCCATGGGCACCTGGGGACATGGGGACAGACATGGTGTAACTGGGACGTGGGGACAATGGGACACGGGGTCAGTGGGACATGGCACTACTGGCACTGCCACCACCTGCGCCACGCTTCTGCGTCGCCATGGGCACCTGGGGACATGGGGACCCAGGGACTTGGGGGCAGTGGGACATGGCACTGCCACTGCCATGCTTCCGGCCCGCCATGGGCACCTGGGGACACCAACACGGGACACGGGGACAATGGGACATGGGGTCATACAACCCCTGCCAACCTCCTCCAACCATAGCACTGCGCCACTGCCACCAGTGCCACTGGCACTGCCACTGCGCTTCTGGCCCGCCATGGGCACCTGGGGACATGGGGATCTCAACCCCAAATCCCTGGGATTTTCCATCAGGATCCCAACCCCAATCCCAGGGATTTTCCAGTGGGATCCTCTCAGGATCCTGACCCCAAATCCTGGGGGTTTTCCATTGGAATCCAGTCGGGATCCCAACCCAAATCCCAGTGATTTTCCATCAGGACCTCAACCCCAATCCCTGGGGTTTTCCATTGGAATCCACTCAGGATCCTGACCCAAATCCCAGGGATTCTCCAGTGGGATCCTCTCAGGATCCTGACCCCAAATCCTGGGGGTTTTCCATTGGAATCCAGTCAGGATCCCAACCCCAATCCCAGGAATTTTCCAGAGAGATCCTGACCCCAATCCTGGCGATTTTCCATCAGGATCCTGACCCCGATCTCTGCATTTTTCCATCAGGATCCCGATCCCAATCCCAAGGATCTTCCATCAGGATCCTGACCACAAATCCTGGGGGTTTTCCATTGGAATCCAGTCAGGATCCCAACCCCAATCCCAGGGATTCTCCAGTGGGATCCTGACCCCAATCTCTGTGTTTTTCTATCAGGATCCTGACCCCAATCCCAGGGATCTTGCAGTGGGATCCTGACTCCAATCCCGAGGATTTCCTGACCCCAGTCCCTGGGGTTTTCCAGTGGGATTCTGACCCCAATCCCAGGGATCTTCCTTTAGGATCTCGACCCAAATTCCTGGGATTTACCACTGGAATCCACTCAGAATCCCAACCCAAATCCCAGGGATTTTCCAGAGGGATCCTGACCCCAATCCTGGGGATTTTCCAGAGGGATCCTGACCCCAAATCTCTCCATTTTTCCATCAGGATCCTGACCCCAATCCCAGGGATTTTCTGCTGGAATCCACTCAGGATCCCAAACCCCAATCCCTGGGGTTTTCCAGTGGGATCCTGACCCCAATCCTGGCAATTTTCCATCAGGATCCTGACCCCAATCTCTGCATTTTTCCATCAGGATCCCAATCCCAATCCCAAGGATCTTCCATCAGGATCCTGACCCAAATCCTGGGGGTTTTCCATTGGAATCCACTCAGGATCCCGACCCCAATCTTGGGAATTTTCCATCAGGATCCCAACCCCAATCCCGAGGATTTCATTCAGGATCCTGACCCCAATCCCAGGATTTTCCAGTGGGATCCTGACCCCAATCTCTGGGATTTTCCATCAGGATCCCGACCCAAATTCCAGGGATCTTCCAATGGGATCCTGACCCCAATCTTTGTGTTCTTCTGTCAGGATCCCAACCCAAATCCCAGGGGTTTTCCGGTGGGATCCTGACCCCAGTCCCAGGGATTTTCCATTGGAATCCACTCAGGATCCCAACCCCAAATCCCTGGGGATTTTCCATCAGGATCCTGACCCCAATCCCAGAGATTTTCCATTGGAATCCTGACCCAAATCTCTGTGTTTTTCTACCAAGATCCTGACCCTAATCTTGGGGATTTTCCATCAGGATCCTGACCCCAATCCCAGAGATTTTCCAGTGGAATCCTGACCCCAATCCCAGGATTTTCTGTCAAGATCCTGACCCCAATCTTTGGGATTTTCCATCAGGATCCCAATCCCAGATTTCCCTGGGATCCACCCCCATCCCTGCTCCGGCCTCTCCTTGGTTACAATGTCCCAAACAAAAGGAAAACATCGGGATCACGACAGGAACCCCCCACCCACCTCAATTCCTCCCCAAGGAGGAAATTCCCAAAAAAAATCCCTGGAAAAAACAGCCTGGCCCCAAATCCAGGGGGGAAAACAGGAATGGGAAACACCTGGTGCTGTGATCCTGATTTTTTTAGGGAGTTTTCATTAAATTGCCTCTTTTTTCCCTCAATTTGGGTGGTGAATTGTACAAAAAATGCAAAAAAATCTTGGATTTATCAGCACCAACCCCTTGGAATGATCCTGGATGGTTTTCCTCACATGGAAGCCAGAAAAAAGCTGGAATTTGGTGTGAAAATCCAAAGAAATTTGGGAAAATTGAGATTTTATGGAAGCGCTGACCCCTGGGAAAGGGGAATTTTAGGGTTTAAATATAAAAAAAAACCCCACTAAAATTGTTAAATTCATTTCCAAGCAGGGAATTCTGGCTGTGGAAGAAATCCCAAAATTCCAATGGTTCCCAAAATCCTGAAATCCCAAAATTCACAGGGGTGGGAGGTGGAAATCCCAAAAATTTGTGGATTTTCCTCAGAAATGAGCAGGAAAATCTCCCAGAAAAACACAAAGATCCCAAAATCCCTCAGGAAATCCCTCCCACCCCTTTTCCCAGGAAGAGAATTCCGGGAACATTCAAATAATTTCGGGATCAACGGGAAAAACGAGTTCCTGCAGCTTCCCAGGGCTCGGCCCATGGGATCCCTGAGGATATTTTGGGATTTTTCCCATTAAATCTGGGCCAAAACCATCAAAATTCCACAATTATCCCTAAAAATCCCAACCTGGGTGGGGAGAAAAAGCCCAAATCCCAATTTTTAGGTGAATTTTCCAAGGGAAATGGACACGAAGAAGATTTTTCCCTCACAATTGCCAGGGATAGGAAAAATTCCCAAATAATTGGGGGAAAAAAAACTCACAAAAATTGAGATTAATCCTGAATTTTTCTTCTTTTTTTTTTCTGATGAATTTCCACTCCTAAATCCAGCAGGAATTCCCAAAAATCCATTCCCAGCCCCAATAAATTGGATTTTTGGGAAGAAGAGGATGGAAGGGAGGAGGAGGAGGAAGCTCCTGACAAAATATCCCATGGAAAACCAGCTCTGGAATTTGAGAATTTGGGAATTCCCAGCTCTGGAACCAGCTGGGAATGTGGGAATTTAATTCCTGAGCCTCTCCTGATCCATCCATGGATCCATCCTGAACCTCTCCAGCTCCACCAGGATCCTCTGGATCCATCCCAAACTTCCTTAGATCCACCCTGAGGCCCTTTGGATCCATCCTGAACCTTTCTGGATCCATCAGGATCTTCTGGATCCATCCCAAACCCCTTTAGATCCATCCCAGACCTCTCCAGATCCATCCCAGACCTCCTTGGATTAATCCTGACTCTCTCCAGATCCATCAGGACCTTCTGGATCCATCTTGAACCTCTCCAGATCCATCAGGACCTTCTGGATCCATTCTGAACCCCTTTAGATCCATCCCAGACCTCTCCACATCCATCAGGAACTTCTGGATCCATCATGAACCTCTCCAGATCCATCAGGACCTTCTGGATCCATCCTTGGATCCATCTTGAACCTCTCCAGATCCATCAGGACCCTCTGGATCCATCCTAAACCTCTCCAGATCCATCAGGACCTTCTGGACCCATCCCAAATCCCTTTAGATCCATCCCAGATCCATCAGGACCCTCGGGATCCATCCCTAAATTCATCCCAGACCTCTCCAGATCTGTCAGGACCTTTTGGCTCCATCCTTGGATCCATCTTGAACTTCTCCAGATCCACCAGGAACTACTGGATCCATCCTTGGATCCATCCCAAACCTCTCCAGATCCATCAGGACCCTCTGGATCCATCCCAAACCCCTCCAGATCCATCCTGACCTTCCCTGGCTCCATCCTGAACCTCTCCAGATCCATCAGGACCTTCCAGATCCATCCCAAACCCCTTTAGATCCATCCCAGATCCCTCCAGATCCATCCCTGGATCCACCCTGAACCTCTTTGGATCCATCAGGACCCTCTGGATTCATCCCAAACCCCTTTAGATCCATCCCAGACCTCTCCAGATCCATCAGGACCCTCTGGATCCATCCTAAAGCTCTCCAGATCCATCAGGACCTTCTGGATCCACCCCAGACCTCTCCAGGTCCATCAGGACCCTCTGGATCCATCCTTGGATCTATCTTGAACCTCTTTAGATCCATCAAGATCTTCTGGATCCATCCCAGAGCTCTCCAGATCCATTAGGACCTTCTGGGTCCATCCTGAACCTCTCCAGATCCATCAGGACCTTCCAGATCAATCTCGAACCTTTCCAGCTCCATCCCTCCCTTCCCTAGATCCCTTTCCCCACACCCCCCAAAGATAAATCCCCAATTAATCAAAGCCCAAATTAATTAAACCCCCAATTAATTAAACCCCCAATTAATTAAACCCCCAATCAACCCCCGGACCCACCTCAGCCGTGCCCGCTGGCGCTCTCAGCGATCTCCGATCCCTTTTTCCTTCTCTTTGATTTTCCTTTCCAATAAATCTCCCCCAAAAAAAATCCCCAAAGTTCCAGCGATGCCTGGAGAGCTCTCAGTCCTTACCGGAATTCCCCCCCCCCGCCAAAAAACCCCTTTTTTAAATTAGTTTTTAATTTCCTAATTAATAATTTAGCGAAGAGAAGCCAAGCGCGGCGTTGCCTTTAGGTCATTCCCGGTTGCAGGGCGGACATTGCCGAGGCAGGAATTCCCTGGATCGCGGATTTTGTTTCGATCAAAACAAAAACCGCAAGAAAAAAACAAAAAGAAATTCGCCGGGCTGAAGAAATCCTTGGAATTTCATCCCGTTCCTGCTGCACCGCAAATCCCGGGATTTTCTGAGCCTCGGGAGGAACCGGAATCCCGGAAAAAAAACCAAAAAAAAAAAAACAAACCGGGAAAAGCGCTGTTAAATAAACAAAATAAAAATTAAAAATAAACAAAAAAAAAATTCCGATTTTGCCGCGATTTCGGCTGAAATCGGCCCCGAATTCCAGCGAGAAAGAACCAAAACCGGGAGCACCGGGAGGGCTCTCCCCGTTAAAGGCCCTCAAAGCCCCGGTTCAGCCCCGAAGGCCTCGGGAAGGGCCCGGTTCGACCCCAAAAAGCTCCGGTCAAAGCCCGGCGAGGCCCCGGTAAGGCCGCAAACGGCACCGCCGAGCCCCGGGGATGCCCCAAACGGCCCCGCCGAGCCCCGAAAGGCGGCGGGGAGGCCCCGGTAAGGCCGCAAAAGGCCCCGAGCAGGCCCCGGGGAGGCTCCGGTCAGGCCCCGGGGAGGCTCTGGCGGCGGCAGCGTCGCGAGGAGCGGCGGGGGGAGCGGCGGGGCCCCCCCTGCGGGCCCGTCCCAGCCCGCCGAGCGCGGGGGCCCCTCCCGGCCCCTCACAGCCCCTCAGGGCCGGCCCAGCCCCGGCGCCGCCATCTTGGCTCCGTCCGCTCCGCTCCCCGCTCCCCGCGGGCGGCTCCGCCCTGACGTCACTTCCGGCAGGCAGAGCACACGCCTCCTTTATCTCCTCAAAGCCGCGCCCACATCCGGGCACTCGCGAGCCCACCGCGGCTTCACGCCCATAGGGAAACACAGGAAGGGCGGCGCCATGTTGGGTGAGGGCAAGAGGGCGGCTACATCCGGGTTACTGCTGTTGGCGTCAGCGCTATTGGTTAGCACGGGGCGGGCGCCATTTTGAGTGAGGGCAGCCGGGCAGCGCGGGGCCGCGTGGCGGCGCAGCCGCCATCTTGGAAATCGTGAGGCGGAGGCGCCGCCATCTTAACTGAGGGCAGCAAGGGGGGGGTCTGGCGGGGGTTTGAGGAGATTTTGAGGATTTTTTAGGGCGTTTTGGGTATTGAGGGAAGGGGTGAGGAGAGGTGGGTGGAGATGGGGTCAGGGGGTTCCTGTGAGGGAGGAGAGAGCGGTGGGGTGGGGTAGATTGAGGGAGAATGCGCGAGGGGATGAGGGGGACAATGTGGGGGGAGGACAACGGGAGGAGGAGGAGGGGCCCGTTCTGAGGGCGGGGAGGACACCCTGGCGACAAGGAGGCGACAATGGAGGAGGGGGGGCAATGCCACCCCCATAGCCCCGAGAGCTCCCCGCCCCCACCCACGGGTGGGGCCCTTCACCTTTGCCCCTTCCTGGGTGGGGAAACTGAGGCAGGGCAGGGATGGGACAGGGGGGGTGACCTGGGTGTGTCCCCCCCCCACCATCAGTGTCCCCTCCCCCCCTCTATACTGCCCCGGGGCGCGGCAATGAACGATTGTAATTGTAATTATTGTAATTAGTGTCGTTAGCGCGGCACGCGCCACTGCGGCGCCGGGCCCTGAACCGGGGGCGGGGGGGAACCTCTGTGAGGGCCCCCGGGGCTGGGGGGACACCGGGGAGGGGACACCGGGGTTGGGGGGAACACCGGGGAGGGACCGAGGGGACACTGGGATTGGGGGGTCCCCGGTAATTGGGGGGAGACACGGGGGGGTTATCCAGGGTCACACCGGCGCTTCCCGGGTGGTCCCCGGTGTACGGCGGGGGTCCTGGAACAGAACCGGGGGTGTCCCCGCTGTCCCCGGTGGTGTCTCGGTTGTCCCGGGAGGTGTCCCCGGTGTCCCCGGAGGATCTCGGGGAGGGTCCCTGGTATCCAGAGGGGTCCCGGAACAGAACCGGGGGTGTCCTGGCTGTCCCCGGTGGTGTCCCGGCTGTACCGGGGGGTCCCGAAACAAAACCCGGAGGTGTCCCCGGAGCATCTGGGGGAGGCTCCCCGGTATCTAGGGGGGTCCCGGTTGTGCCCCCGCTGTCCCGGGTGTGTCCCCGCCATCCCGGGTGGCGCTGATGGCGCTGGGGGCCCCAGCCCGGGGCGGGGCGCGGTGCCCGGGCGGTGTCCGGGCGGTCCCGGTGAGTCACCCGGTGCCCCCCCGCGCCCCCCGGTCCGGCCCGCCCCCGCCGTGCCTATCCCGGGCCGGACCGCGCCCCGGCACTGCCCGCACCGCCACCGGCACCGAGCACCGCACGCACGGTGAGTGAGCGAGAGCGGCACCCCCGGGAACGGGAACGGGGGATCGGTCCCGCACCCCAAAATTGGGGAACCCCATCTCCAAATCCCGGTTTGGGGTCGAAATCCCGGTCTGGGGTCTAAATTCTGATTTGGGGCCCCCCGCCCGGTAACGGGAACTGGAGTCGGTCCTGAACCCCAAAATGGGGAACCCCATCTCTAAATCGGGTTTGGGGTGCCTCGCCCGGTAACGGGAACTGGAGTCGATCCCGCACCCCAAAATGGGGGAACCCCATCCCCAAATCCCGCCTTGGGGTCTAAATCTGGGTTTGGGGTCCCCCTCCCTGTAACGGGAACGGGGGCTCGGTCCGGGACCCCAAAAAGGAGGAACTGCATCCCCAAACCCCGGTTTGGGGTCTAAATTCTGATTTGGGGTGCCCCGCCCGGTAACGGGAACGGGGACTCGGTCCTGCACCCCAAAATTGGGGAACCCCATCCCCAAACCCCACTTTGGGGTCTAAATTCTGATTCGGGGGCCCCCTCCCGGCCCGGTACCGGGGAGCCCCATCCCGGTGTCCGTTTTTGGGGTGTCCCCATCCCCAAACCCCATTTTGGGGGGATCAATCCTGTCCCCAATTTTGGGGTCCCGCTCCCCGATTTTGGGGGGGAATTTTGAGCATCACTTGGGGGACCCCATCCCTGTCCCCCAATTTGGGGGTCTCCATCCCCAAACCCCCTTTTTGTGGGGTCTCACCCTTTTTGAGGGTCTCACCCTTTTTGGGGGGGTCTCACCCTTTTGGGATGTTCACTTTTGGGATGGTTCCATCTTTTTTTTGGGGTTCCCCCTTCTTGGGGTGGTTCCCATTTTCTGGGGTCCCTTTTGGGGGGATTCCTCCTTTTTGGGGCGGTTCCTCCTTTTTTTGAGGGTCCCCCTTTTTTGAGGGGTCTCCCTTTCCCGGAGGGGTCACTTTTGGGGGTTTTCCTCCTTTTTGAGGGGTTCCCCTCTTTTTTTTGGGGGTCCCCCTTTTCTGGGAGGTCACTTTTGGGGGCTTCCCCCTCTTTTTGGGGGGGTCATTTTGGGAATTCCTCCTTTTTTGGGGATTCCTCCTTTTTAGGATTCTCCTTTTTTTGGGGGTTCCTCCTTTTTAGGGGTTTCCTCCTTTTTTGGGGGGGCTCCTCCTTTTTTGTGGGGATTCCTCCCTTTTAGGGGTTTCCTCCTTTTTTTGGGGGGGGGTTCCTCCTTTTTGAGGGAATTCCTCCTTTTTAGGATTCTCATTTTTTTGGCGGGATTCCTCCTTTTTTAGGACATTCCTCCTTTTCGGGGCGTTTCCCATTTTCTCAACTCTTCCCCGTTTTCCTCGGTCACTTTTAGGGTGGATCCCTTCATTTTTTATGGTTTTTTTTTTTTTTTGGGGGTCCCTCCCCCTTCCATGAGTCACCGGGGTGTCCCCAAGGGGGGGGCGGGGGGGGGGTGACACGGCCACACCCTCGGGACGTGTCCCCCTCGTGTCCCCCCCGCCCCATCCCGGGCTGAGTCACGGCCGGAGCATTCCCGGACATTCCTGGGAAATCCGCGGCCAGGGGGGCGGGAATGGGGAGTTTGGGGGGGTCCTGGAGGGATTTTGGGGGGTGGCAACAGGAATTTGGGGGTCCCACGCGGGATTTTGGGGTGGCCCAGGGGGAATTTTGGGGGTCCTGGAGGGATTTTGGGGGTGGAAACAGAAATTTTGGGGTCCCAGGCGGGATTTTGGGGTGGTCCAGGGGGACATTTGGGGGGTCCTGGAGGGATTTTGGGGGGTCCTGGAGGGATTTTGGGGGATGGCATCAGGAATTTGGGGGTCCCACGCGGGATTTTGGGGTGGTCCAGGGGGACTTTTGGGGGTCCCAGGAGGAATTTGGGGGGTCCTGGAGAGATTTGGGGGGGCGCAGGGAAAATTTGGAGGGGTCACAGGAGGGATTTGGGGGGGCCCTAGGAGGATTTGAGGGCTCCAGGAGGGATTTTGGGGTTCCCTGGAGGAATTTTGGGGGCGCAGGGGAAATTTGGGGGGTCCTGGAGGGATTTTGGGGGGTGGCAACAGGAATTTGGGGATCCCAGGAGGGATTTTGGGGGGTCCAGGAGGGATCTGGGGAGGCACTAGGGGAATTTGGAGGGGTCCCAGGAGGAATTTTGGGGAATTCAGGAGGGATTTTGGGGGGTCCTGGAGGAATTTTGGGGGGTCCTGGAAGGATTTGGGGACCCCCAGGAGGGATTTTGAGGATTTCAGGTGGAATTTGGGGATCCAGGATTTTGGGGTGGTCCAGGATGAATTTGGGGGGTGGAAACAGAAATTTGGGGTCCCAGGAGGGATTTTGGGCGGTCCTGGAGGGATTTGGGGGATCCAGGAGGAATTTTGGGGGCCTCGGGAGGAATTTGGGGCATTCAGAAGGAATTTGGGGGTCACAATGGGAATTTTGCGTTTCCCATTAGGATTTTTGGGGTTCCCATCGGGATTTTGGGGTTCCCATCAGGAATTCGGGTTTCCTATTGGCATTTTGAAGGTTTCCATTGGGATTTTGGGGTTCCCATCAGGAATTTTGGGGTTCCCAGCAGGATTTTTGAGATTTCCATCGGGATTTTTATGGTTCCCATCAGGAATTTTGAGTTTCCCATTGGGATTTTGGGGTTCCCAGCAGGATCTTTGATGTTCCCATCAGGAATTTCAGGTTTCCCATTGGGATTTTTGGGGTTCCCAGTATGATTTTTGTATTTCCCATTGGGATTTTTGGGGTTCCCAGTATGATTTTTGTGTTTTCCATTGGGATTTTGGGGTTCCCATTGGGATTTTTGTGTTTCCCATTGGGATTTTTGGGGTTCCCATTGGGATTTTTGGGTTTCCCATTGGGATTTTGGGGTTCCCAGTATGATTTTTGTATTTCCCATTGGGATTTTTGGGGTTCCCAGTATGATTTTTGTGTTTCCCACTGGGATTTTGGGGTTCCCAGTATGATTTTTGTATTTCCCATTGGGATTTTGGGGTTCCCAGTATGATTTTTGTGTTTCCCATTGGGATTTTTGTGTTTCCCATTGGGATTTTGGGGGTTCCCAGTCTGATTTTTGTATTTCCCATTGGGATTTTTGTGTTTCCCATTGGGATTTTTGGGGTTCCCAGTATGATTTTTGTATTTCCCATTGGGATTTTTGTGTTTCCCATTGGGATTTTGAGGTTCCCAGTATGATTTTTGTGTTTCCCATTGGGATTTTGTATTTCCCATTGGGATTTTTGTGTTTCCCATTGGGATTTTGTGTTTCCCATTAGGATTTTTGTGTTTCCCATTGGGATTTTGGGGTTCCCAGTGTGATTTTTGTGTTTCCCATTGGGATTTTGGGGTTCCCAGTATGATTTTTGTGTTTCCCATTGGGATTTTGGGGGTTCCCAGTCTGATTTTTGTATTTCCCATTGGGATTTTTGGGGTTCCCACTATGATTTTTGGGTTTCCCATTGGGATTTTTGGGGTTCCCAGTATGATTTTTGTGTTTCCCATTGGGATTTTGTGTTTCCCATTGGGATTTTTGTGTTTCCCATTGGGATTTTTGGGGTTCCCGGTATGATTTTTGTGTTTCCCATTGGGATTTTTGTGTTTCCCAGTGTGATTTTTGGTTTTCCCACCAGGATTTTGGCAGCCCCAGGGTCAGGATGCCGTCGCAGCTGGAGCACGCCATGGAGACGCTGATGTTCACCTTCCACAAGTACGCGGGGGACAAGGAGCACCTGGCCAAGGAGGACCTCAGGGCGCTCATGGACAAGGAGTTCCCGGGGTTCCTCGAGGTGGGCATGGCTCTGGGGGGTCCAGGGCGTCCATGGGGTGGGATGGGATCTATGGGATCCATGGGGTGGGGATGGGATGGGATGGGATCCATGAGATGGCATCTATGGGATCCATGGGGTGAGATGGGATCTATGGGATCCATGGGGTGGGGATGGGATGGGATCCATGAGATCCATGGGATGGGGTGGGATCTATGGGGTCCATGGGATGGGATAGGATGGGATCCGTGGGATCCATGGGATGGGATGGGATGGGATGGGATCTATGTGAGCCATGGGGTGAAATCCATGGGATGGGATGGGATCCATGAGATGGCATCTGTGGGATCCATGGGATGGGGTGGGATCTATGGGATCCATGGGATGGGATCCATGGGGCCCATGGGATGGGATCTATGTGAGCCATGGGGTGAAATCCATGGGATGGGGATCCATGAGATGGCATCTATGGGATCCATGGGGTGGGATCCATGGGGTGGGATCCATGGGATCCATGAGATGAGATCCATGGGATGGGATAGGATCTATGTGAGCCATGGGGTGGGATCCATGAGGTTTCATCTATGGGATCCATGGGATGGGATCCATGGGGTGGGATCCATGGGGTGGGATCCATGGGATCCATGAGATGAGATCCATGGGATGGGATCCATGGGATGGGATCCATGGGATGGGATGGGATGGGATGGGATCTATGTGAGCCATGGAGTGAGATCTGTGGGATGGCATTGATGGGATCCATGAGATTTCATCTATGGGATCCATGGGATGGGATCCATGAGATTTCATCTATGGGATTGGATCCATGGGATGGGATCAATGGGAGCTAGAGAACCCCAAGATCAAACCCCATAAACCTTGGGATGGGATCCCATAAACCCTGGGATCAAACAAGACAGAACCCTGGGATCAAACCCTACAGACCCCACACTGGATCCTATAGAACTCTGGGATCAGATCCTGTAAACACCAGGATCAAACCCCATAAACCTTGGGACCAGGGGGTGATGATCCCCCCATTCTCCCTATTCCCATTTAGGATCTGACCCCATCGCCATTTTTTCCCCCAGAACCAGCGCGACCCCAACACCCTGGAGTGGGATCCCGTTCCCATTTAGGATCTGACCCCGTTCCCATTTAGGATCTGACCCATTTTCCCCATTTTTTCCCCCAGAACCAGCAGGACCCCAACACCCTGGAGTGGATCCTGTGGGACCCCATTCCCATGTGGGATCTGACCCCGTTCCCATTTAGGATCTGACCCCGTTCCCATTTAGGATCTGACCCATTTTCCCCATTTTTTCCCCCAGAACCAGCGTGACCCCAACGCCCTGGAATGGACCCTGTTCCCATTTAGGATCTGACCCCGTTCCCATTTAGGATCTGACCCATTTTCCCCGTTTTTTCCCCCAGAACCAGCGCGACCCCAACGCCCTGGACCGGATCCTGCGGGACGTTGAGCAGAGCCGCGACGGCCGCGTCGGCTTCCAGGGCTTCTTCTCGCTGGTGGCCGGGCTCACCATCGCCTGCAACGACTACTTCGTGCAGCACATGAAGCAGCGCGGCCGCCGCTGAGACCCCCACCCATGGGTGCCCCCCAAACACCTGGGGGTGTCACCCCAAACTCGCCTTGGATCCTCCCTTAACCCTAAAAGTGTGCCTTGATCCTTCCTTGGGGTTTTGAACCTTTCCCATGAGGTCCTGACCCTCCCTGATGGGCTGAGACCCCCTTGGGGAGATTGAGACCCCCACCCATGGGTGCCCCCCAAACACCCAGAGGTGTCACCCCAAACCCACCTTGGATCATCCCTTGACCCTAAATGTGTGCCTTGATCTTTCCTTGGGGTTTTGAACCTTTCCCATGAAGGTCCTGACCCTCCCTGATGGGCTGAGACCCCCCAAAGGGGTGATGAACCCCTCCCCACCACCCATGGGTGCCTCCCACCCATCTTAGGGTGTCACCCCAAACCCGCCCTGGATCCTCCCTTGACCCTAAATGCGTGCCTTGCTCCCCCTTTGGGGTTCTGATCTCTCCCTACAAAGGTCTTGATCCCATCTGGGGGTCCTGACGTCCCCCATTGCAAGCTGAGACCCCCTCCCCACCCATGGGTGCTCCCCAAACACCCACCCAACCATGGGTGCCCCCCATCCATCTAGGGGTGTCACCCCAAACCTGCCTTGGATCATCCCTTGACTCTAAATGTGTGCCTTGATCCTTCCTTGGGGTTTTGAACCTTTCCCATGAAGGTCCTGACCCTCCCTGATGGGCTGAGACCCCCCCAAAGGGGTGATGAACCCCTCCCCACCCATGGGTGCCCCCCATCCATCTTGGGTGCCACCCCAAACCCACCTTGGATCATCCCTTGACCCTAAATCTGTGCCTTGATCCTTCCTTGGGGTTTTGACCCCTTCCCCCAAAGGTCCTGACTCCCCCCATTGCAAGCTGAGACCCCTCCCCACCCATGGGTGCCCCTTGCCCACCCAGAGGTGTCACCCCAAACCCACCTTGGATCATCCCTTAACCCTAAATGTGTGCCCTGATCCCCCTTTGGGGTTCTGATCTCTCCCCACAAAGGTCCTGAGCCCACCTGGGGGTCCTGACCCCCCCCCATTGCAAGCTGAGACCCCTCTGGGGGGATTGGGGTGCCCTCCCCCCACCCATGGGTGCCCCCCACCTATCTTAGGGTGTCACCCCAAACCTGCCTTGGATCCTCCCTTAACCCTAAATGTGTGCCCTGACCCTGATTTGGGGTCCTGACCCCCCCATGGGTGCCCCCATCCCCCCCCATGGGTGCCCCCAGCCCCCCCCCAGCTCTGTTGGGACCCTTCATTGTCCCCCCCTCCCCCCATGGGTGCCCCCCACCCTGGGGTGCTGCCCTGACCCCCAATAAAGGGTTTTGTATGAACCAGGGTCTCGCTGTTCTTGGGGTCTCTTTGGGGTCCCTCTCCCCTTTGGGTCACTTTGAGATTCCTTTTGGGGTCTCCTTGGGGTCCCTGTCCTCCTGAGGTCCCTGTCACTCCAGGCTCTCTTTTGGGGTCCCCCTGTCACTTTGGGGTCCCTGTCATTGCAGGGTCCCTTTGGGGACACTTGGGGCTGTGGGGGAGCTGTGTGGGGTGACAGTGGGGTCCATGGGGGCGCATAGGGCTCTATAGGGGATCTATGGGGTTCCATAGGGGATCTGTAAGGTCTCTATAGGGTTCCATGGGGTTCCATAGGGCTCTGTAGGTTCCATGGGGTCTCTATAGGGTCCCTATAGGGTTCCATAAGGTCTCTCTAGGGGTTCTATAGGGTTCCATGGGGTTCCATAGGTCTCCATAGGGTCTCTGTAGGGTCCCTATAGGGTTCCATAGGGTGTCTATAGGTCTCTATAGGGTCTCTCTCTATAGGGTCTCAATAGGGTTCCATAGGATTCCATGGGGTTCCATAGGTCTCTATAGGGTTTCTATGGGGTCTCTATAGGGTTTCTATAGGGTCTCTGTAGGGTTTCTATGGGGTCTCTGTAGGGTTTCTATGGGGTCTCTATAGGGTTTCTCTCGGTAGGGTTCCCTATAGGGTTTCTATGGGGTCTCTGTAGGGTTTCTATGGGGTCTCTATAGGGTTTCTATAGGGTCTCTATAGGGTTTCTATGGGGTCTCTGTAGGGTTTCTATGGGGTCTCTATAGGGTTTCTATAGGGTCTCTGTAGGGTTTCTATGGGGTCTCTATAGGGTCTCTATGGGGTCTCTATAGGGTTTCTCTGTACGGCTCCACACGGCTCCTTTCCGGTCTCTCAGGCCCCGCCCCCGGAAGCGGGGAAACCCGGAAGCGCCGTGAAGTCACGGCGGTGGGCGGGGCCTCGGCGAGCGCGGGTCCGGGCAGGGCTGGGGACAGGGAGGGGACAGGGAGGGGACACGGGGGGCACAAAGGGAAGAGCGGGAAGGGCCGGGCAGAGGGGACAGAGCGGGGGCAGGGACCCGGGGGGGACACGGTGACATTGGCTGGGGGCGGGGCGGACAGGTGACGTCACGGGCAGCGGGGCGGGAGGTGCTGTGACACCGGTGGTGACGTCACCGGAGGGTGTGACAGCGCTGCTGACGTCACTGACCAGGTGTGACATCAACAGTGACGTCGGCAGCGAGTTCAGTGGCTGGTGTGACATCACCAATATCACCGGGAACCAGGTGTGACATCACCGACCGTGTGTGACATCACCAGTGACATCACCGAACAGGTGTGACATCCCCAGTGTCACTACACTGCACGTGTGACACCAGCAGTGACATCATTGTCGCTGTGTGATGTCACTGAGCAGTGTCACCACACACTGGTGACATCACCGCCCATCCCTGCAGGTGACCCTGGTGACATTGTAGTGATACCAGTGACACCATGGTGACATTGCAGTGACATTGTGGTGACATTGCAGTGACATTGCGATGACATTGCTGTGACATTGCAGGGAGGTCGCGGTGACGTCGCGGTGACATTGTGGCGACATTGCAGTGACATTGCTGCGACATTATGCTGACATCACAGTGATATCACGGTGACATCGTGGTGTCATTGCGGTGACCTCGTGGCGACATCTCGGTGACAACCCGGTGACATCGCAGTTGCATCCTGGTGACGTCGCAGTGACACCGCGGTGACATCGCAGTGACATCTCGGTGCCACCCCGGCCATGCTGCGCGGTGCGCGGGCGGTGGCCCTGTTCCTGTCCCCTGTCCCGTGTCCCCGGCGCCGCTGCCACCGTCCGTGTCCCCCCCCGCGGGACCTGGCTGTCCCCAACCCCGGCTGGAGCGAGCGCATGAGGGAGCGGCACCGGGAGCTGCTGCAGCAGGCGCGGGACGAGGGCTGGACACGCGTGCCGAGCTACCGGAGATTCCACCCGCGTGAGTGACACTGTCACTGTGTCATTGTCACCTGTGTCATTGTGTCATTGTCACCTGTGTCATTGTGTGACTGTTCACTGTTGCTGTGTCACCATGGGCGCGGGACGAGGGCTGGACACGCGTGCCGAGCTACCGGAGATTCCACCCGCATGAGTGACACTGTCATTGTGTCATTGTCACCTGTGTCATTGTCACTGTGTCACTGTCATTGTCATCTGTGTCATTGTGTCATTGTCACCTGTGTCATTGGCACTGTGTCACTGTGGGCACGGGACGAGGGCTGGACACGCGTGCCGAGCTACCGGAGATTCTGGCCATGTGAGTGACACTGTCATTGTCACTGTGTCATTGGCACTGTGTCATTGTCATTGTGTCATTGTCATTGTCACCTGTGTCATTGTCACCTGTGTCATTGCGTCACCTGTGTCATTGTGTGACTGTTCACTGTCGCTGTGTCACCATGGACACGGGACGAGGGCTGGACACGCGTGCCATCCTACAGGAGATTCCATCCACGTGAGTGACACTGTCATTGTCACCTGTGTCATTGTCACCTTTGTCATTGTCACTGTGTCATTGTCACTGTGTCATTGTGTCACTGTCACTGTGTCACTGTGTCACTGTGGGCACGGGACGAGGGCTGGACACGCGTGCCGAGCTACCGGAGATTCCATCCGCGTGAGTGACATTGTCACTGTGTCATTGTCACCTGTGTCATTGCATCATTGTCACCTGTGTCATTGTGTGACTGTTCACTGTTACTGTGTCACCATGGGCACGGGACGAGGGCTGGACACGCGTGCCATCCTACAGGAGATACCAGCCACGTGAGTGACATTGTCATTGTCACCTGTGTCATTGTGTCATTGTCACCTGTGTCATTGTGTCACCTGTGTCATTGTGTCATTGTCACCTGTGTCATTGTCACTGTGTCCGTGTGTCACCATGGGCACGGGAGGAGGGCTGGACACGGGTGCCATCCTACAGGAGATACCGCCCACGTGAGTGACACTGTGCCACCTATGTCATTGTCACCTGTGTCATTGTCATTGTCACTGTGTCTGTGTCACCTGTCATTGTAACCTGTGTCATTGTATCACTGTCATTGTCACCGTCACTGTGTCACCGTGGGCACAGCTGCTGAGCTTCCAATGGTACTGCCCACATGAGTGACACTGTCACTGTGTCATTGTCATTGTCACTGTGTCATTGTCACTGTGTCATTGTCATTGTCACTGTGTCACTGTGCCACCATGGGCACAGCTGCCGAGTTACCGACAGTACTGCCCACGTGAGTGACATTGTCACTGTCATTATCACCTCTCACTGTCCCTGTATCACTGTGTCACTGTGTCACCTGTCACATGGCACCTGTGTCACTTTGTCACCACTGTCACCACGTCACCTGTAACCCATGTCACCATGTCACCTCTGTCACCTCTGTCACTGTGTCACCCGTGTCCCCAGTGTCCCCAGCCCCTGCAGTGTCCCCAGCCCGGTGACAGCGCTGTCCCCGCAGAGATGCTGGGGCTGCCCGGTGACGGTGACAGGGACAGGGACACGCGGCAGTTCCCGAGGGCCATCGAGGGGGACGGGGACGGCTTCGAGTTCGTCACGTTCCTGAGTGTCCCCAAGGGCCGCCTGCGCTGCCTGTGCCAGCTGGGGCCCTTCCTGGAGGGACACCCGGGGTGAGTGTCACCATTGTCGCCCATTGTCACTCACTGTCACCTACTGTCACCCACTGTCACCCACTGTCACCTATTGTCACTCACTGTCACCCGTTGTCACCTCCTGTGCCAGCTGGGGCCCTTCCTCGAGAGACACCCGGGGTGAGTGACACCATTGTCACCCAGTGTCACCCAGTGTCACCTACTGTCAGTTATTGTCATGTACTGTCATGTACTGTCACCCACTGTCACCCATTGTCACCTACTGTCACCTATTGTTACGTACTGTCACCTGCTGTCACCTCCTGTGCCAGCTGGGGCCCTTCCTCAAAGGACACCCAGGATGAGTCACTGTCACCCATTGTCACCCATTGTCACCTACTGTCAATTATTGTCATGTACTGTCAGCTACTGTCACCCATTGTCACCTGCTGTCCGCTATTGTCACCTCCTGTGCCAGCTGGGGCCCTTCCTGGAGGGACACCCGGGGTGAGTGTCACCGTTGTCACTCATTGTCACCCATTGTCACCTACTGTCCCTTGCTGTCAGCTACTGTCATCTGCTGTCACCTCTTGTCACCTCCTGTCACCTGCTGTCACCTCCTGTGCCAGCCCGGGCCCTTCCTCGAGGGATGAGTGCCACCCATTGTCACCCGTTGTCACCCATTGTCACCTATTATCACCTACTGTCAGCTACTGTCACCGATTGTCACTGAATGTCACCTCCTGTCCCCTCCTGTGCCAGCCCAGGCCCTTCCTGCAGGGACACCCGGGGTGACCCTCCTGTCACCTTCTGTCACCTGTGTGACACTGCTGCCACCTGTCTGTCACCCCCACGTCCCCTGCTGTTCCTCTCATGTCACTCCTTTTGTCCCCAATGTCCCTGTGCTGTCCCTGCTGTCCACAATGTTCCCCAGCTGTCCCCAATGTCCCCGTGCTGTCCCTGCTGTCCCCAATGTCCCCAATGTCCCCGTGTCCCCAGGCTGGCGCACGGCGGTGCCATCGCCACCCTCATTGACACCTCGCTGGGGACGCTGGCGCTGGCGGTGGCCGGGCGGGTGGTGACGGCCAACCTGAGCATCGACTACCTGGAGTGAGTGCCACTGTCCCCACCGTGTCCCCAAGGTGTCCCCAAGGGACAGGGGTGTCCCCAGGGGTGTCTCAAATGTCCCCAAAGGGCCAGGAGTGTCCCCAAGGGCCAGGGGGTGTCCCCATAAATCAGGAGATGTCCCCAAGAAGGGTCTGAGTGTCCCCAAAGGGTCAGGGAGTGTCCCCAAGGAGGGTCTGAATGTCCCCAAGGTGTCCCCAAGGGTGTCTCAAATGTCCCCAAGGGTGGCGTGAGTGTCCCCAGGGGAGGGGACACACACCCAGGGGGACACAAGGGGACATGAGAGTGACAGGGGACACCGGGGTGACCGGGGAGGGCACAAGGGGAGGGACAGGGGGGACACAGGGTGGCATTGGGGTGACACACAAGGGACATCGGGGTGGCCAGGGGGACAGAGGAAGGACATGGCAGTGACCAGGGGGACGCTGGGGTGACCGGGGTGGGGGACACGAGGGGACATTGGGGGCAGTGACAGTGACAGAGTGGCACAGGGGGCCCTGATGTCACTGTGTGTCCCCAATGTCCCCCTGTGTCCCCAGGCCTGTCCCCCTGCTCTCGGTGCTCCTGCTCGAGGCGTTCCTGCAGCGCCACCAGGGCCGGAAGCTCTTCCTGAGCTGTGACCTGTGGGACGCTGAGGGGACAACGCTGCACGCCAAGGCCACCGGTGAGGGGACACTCTGGGGACACTGGGGACATCAGGGACACTGGGGACATTGGGGACATCAGAGACATTGGGGACATCAGGGACACTGGGGACATTGGGGACACTGGGGACATTGGGACATTGGGGACAACGCTGCACGCCAAGGCCACCGGTGAGGGACACTGGGGACACTCTGGGGACATTGGGGACATTGGGGACATCAGGGACATTGGGGACATGGGAACATGGGGACACTGGGGACACTCTGGGGACATCAGGGGCACAGGGACATTGGGGACAATGCTGCACACCAAGGCCACCGGTGAGGGACAGCATGGGGACAGCCTGGGGACATGGGGATATTGGGGACATGGGGACAATGCTGCGCACCAAGGTCACCGGTGAGGGGACACTCTGGGGACACTGGGGACATTTGGGACATTGGGGACATCAGGGACACGCTACACGCCAAGGCCACCGGTGAGGGACGCTGGGGACACTCTGGGGACATTGAGGACACTGGGACATTGGGGACAACACTGCATGCCAAGGCCACCGGTGAGGGGACACTGGGGACAGTCTGGGGACATTGGGGACATCAGGGACATTGGGACACTGGGGACATTGGGGACAGGGCAGGTGACACACTGGGGGGGGTGGGGACACGCTTGGGGACACTGTGGGTCCCCACCTGAGGTGTCCCCTCTGTCCCCAGGGCTCTTCATCCAGCAGGACCCGCCCAAGGAGCCACCACGGGGAGGGGACAGTGGCCGGTGACTGTCACCCGTGTCACCTGTGCCACCTCCTGTGCCACCTGTGTCACCCTCGGTGCCCTCCCTGTCCCCCAGTGCCACCCTGGCTCTCCTTCAGCCACCCCTGGGTGTCCCCAAATGTCCCCCCCTCCATGTCCCCACGTGTCCCCGTGCCCATCACGGCCGCTGCCACCACCCCTCGTGTCCCTTGTGTCACTTCGGGGTCCTCGGGAGGGAAAGTTGGGTGGGGACACCCCAAAATTGGGAAATTTGGGGTCCCCGTACCCAAAAATTGGAAAATTGGGAACTTTGGGGGGTCCCCATACCCCAAGATTGAGTCCAGGGGGGAGTTCGGGGTCTCTGAACCCCAAAATTGGGAACTTTGGGGGTTCAGGGGGTCCCTGTACCCCACAATTGGGAACTTTGGATCTCTGTACCCCGAAATTGGGAAATTTGGGGTCCCTGTATCCAAAAAATGGGAAATTTGGGGAGCCAGGCGTCCCTGCACCCCAAACTGGGAAATCTGGGGTCCCTGTACCTAAAAATGGGAAATTTGGGGTCCCTACACCCCAAACTGGGAACATTGGGGGGTCCCCGTACCCCAAAATTGAGCCAGGGAGGGAGTTCGGGGTCTCTGTACCCCAAAATTGGGAAATTTGGAGGCTCTGAACCCCAAAATTTGGAGCTTTGGGGCCTCAGAGGGTCTCAGAACCCCAAAATTTGGCAGTTTGGATTCTCTGCACCCAAAATTTGGGCAATTTGGGGTCCCTGTACCCCACAATTGGAAACTTTGGGGTCCCTGCACCCCAAAATTCGGAACTTCGTGAGGATTTGGGGTCCGCCACCCCCCCCCCTTCCCTTCCGTGCCTCAGTTTCCCTGCGGGGCAATTCGGAAATTTCCCGCGGTTTTTTTTTTTTTTTTTTTTGGGGGGGGGGGAGGGGCAGGATGCCGGGGGGGGGAGGGGCGGGGACATTGGGGGGGTGGGGGAGGGGCGGGGAAAATTTGGGGGGGGGGGGGGAGCCCCGAGGCCTTAAAGGGGCCGCGCCCGGGTTGGGGCTGGGAGGGAACCGGAGCCATGAGAGGTGCGGGGCACGCGCGTGTGCAAGGGGGGGTGTGAGTGTGCAAGGGGGGCAGGGTGGGCGTGCAAGGGGGTGGGAGTGAGTGTGCAAAGGGTCGGGGGCAACCTCAGGTGTGCAAGGGGAGGTGTGAGTGTGCAAGGGGGGTGTGGGATACGGGTGGGTGTGCAAAGGGGTGGGGGCACAGGTGTGCAAGGGGGGGGTCTGGGAGTGTGGGTGAGTGTGCAAGGAGGGGGTTTGAGTGAGTGTGCAAAGGGTCGGGGGCACCTCCAGGTGTGCAAGGATGGGGGTGAGTGTGCAAGGGGGAGGATCTGGGAGTGTGGGTGGGTGTGCAAGGATGGGTTGGAGTGAGCGTGCAAGGGGTGGGAGCCCCCCGGGGGTGTGCAAAGAGGGGGTGTGGGGTGTTTGCACGCGCGTGTGCGAGGGCAGGGTGGGTTGGGGGTGGCAGCGGGTGCACACGCGTGTGAGGGGTGCACAGGCGGGTTTGGGGGTGTGTGGGGCACACGGGTGTGTCATGGGCTGTGCGGGTGTGTCACAGCTTCCGCGTGTGCGTCGCGGGGCACACGGGTGTGTCATGGGCCGTATGGGTGTGTCACGGGGCACACACGTGTGTCGCAGGTTGTACGCGTGTGTCACAGGCTGTGTGGGTGTGTCACAGGCTGCACACGTGTGTTTTGGAGTGCACGTGTGTGTCACAGGTCACACACGTGTGTCACGGGCTGCACACGCGTGTTTCAAGGTGCGCACGCTTGTCACAGGCTGTACATGTGTGTCACAGGGCAAACACGTGTGTTACAGCATGCACGGGTGTGTCACGGGCTGCACACGCGTGTTTTGTTGTGCACCGATGTGTCACAGGTCACACACACGTGTCACAGGCCGTACAAGCCTGTTAGGGGGCACACGGGTGTGTCATGGGCTGTACACGCTTGTTTCAGGCTGTACACGTGTGTTACAGCGTGCACACGTGTGTCACAGGCTGTACAGGCGTGTCACAGGTCACACACGCGTGTCACGGGCTGTACACGCTGGTTTCACACCGTACACGTGTGTTACAGCGTGCACACGTGTGTCACAGGGCACACGGGTGTGTCACAGGCTGCACACGCCAGTTTTGGGGTGTACATGTGTGTTTTGGGTAGCACAGATGTGTCACGGGCTGCACACGCGTGTTTCAGGCTGTACACGCGTTTCAACGTGCACACGTGCGTCACAGGTCACACACGCGTGTCACTGGCTGTCACCCGTGTGTCACAGGCTGTCACGCATGTGTCACACTCTCACACGTGTGTCGCAGGCTGTTCACGTGCGTGTCACAGGTCCCACACACGTGTCAGGTGTCACACGTGTGTCACAGGCTGCACACGCCTGTTTCAGGCTGCACACGCGTGTTTCAGTGTGCACACGTGCGTCACAGGTCATACACGCGTGTCACTGGCTGTCACCCGTGTGTCACGGGTCACACACCCGTGTCACACGTCCCACATGCGTGTCACAGGTCCCACACACGTGTCAGGTGTCACACGTGTGTCACAGGCTGTCACCCGTGCCTCACAGCCCCACACACACGTGTCACACTCTCACACATGTGTGACAGCCCCGCACGGGTGTCCCAGCCTGTCACACACATGTGTCACAGCCCCACACACATGTGCCAGGTGTCACACATGTGTCACACGTGTCCCCGCGTGTCCCCGCTCCCCCCGCGCACCTGCGGGTCCCTCCCTTGATGTGGCGGCGGCGGCTCCGGGGGGGGACCCGGGGGGGACCCTGCGGTGACAACGGCGGCGACGCGCAGGTGGCACCGCGACACCGCCACCAACCCCCGGGAAACGGGGACGGGGCGCTGGGGACCCTCCGTGGGCCATTGTCCCCTCTGTGTCCCCTCCGTGTCCCCTTTGTGTCCCCACTGTCCCCTCCGTGTCCCCAGTGTCCCCTCCCTGTCCTCGGTGTTCCATTGCCCCCTCCCCGTCCTCTCTGTGTCCCCAGCGCTGTCCCCTCCCTGTCCTCATTGTCCCCTCCCTGTCCCCAGCGCTGTCCCCTCCGTGTCCCCTTTGTGTCCCCTCCTTGTCCCCGGTGTCCCCTCCATGTCCTCTCCGTGTCCCCTCCGTGTCCCCAGCCCTGTCCCGTTCATGTCCCCACTGTCCCCTCCGTGTCCCTGTTGCCCCTTCCCTGTCCCCTCTGTGTCCCCGGTGTCCCCCCATCTCCCATTGTCCCCTCCGTATCCCCTTTGTGTCCCCTCCTTGTCCCCTCCGTGTCCCGGTGTCCCCAGCGCTGTCCCCGGTGTCCCCTCCGCGTCCCTTCTGTGTCCCCATTGTCCCGTCCCTGTCCCCCCGTGTCCCCTCCATGTCTCCTCCGTGTCCCCAGCGCTGTCCCCATTGTCCCTTCCGTGTCCCCTCCCGTGTCCCCCGTGTCGCGGTGCCCGGGGGTGATGGCACTGGGGGGAACTGGGGGGTGGGGATGGCGGATACTGGTGAGGGTTTGTGCGTCCCAGTGTGTCCCAGTTCCATACTGGTGTGTCCCAGTTCCGTACTGGTGCGTCCCAGTGTGTCCCAGTTCCGTACTGGTGCGTCCCAGTTCCATACTGGTGCGTCCCAGTGTGTCCCAGTTCCATACTGGTGTGTCCCAGTTCCATACTGGTGTGTCCCAGTGTGTCCCAGTTCCATACTGGTGTGTCCCAGTTCCATACTGGTGCGTCCCAGTGTGTCCCAGCTCCATACTGGTGTGTCCCAGTTCCATACTGGTGCGTCCCAGTGTGTCCCAGTTCCATACTGGTGTGTCCCAGTTCCATACTGGTGCGTCCCAGTGTGTCCCAGTTCCGTACTGGTGCGTCCCAGTTCCATACTGGTGTGTCCCAGTGTGTCCCAGTTCGTTCCCAGTGTGTTACTGGTGTGTCTCGGTTCGTCAATGGTGTGTCCCAGTCTGTTACTGGCGTGTCCCAGTTCAGCACTGGTGTGTCCCAGTCTGTCACTGTTATGTCCCAGTGTGTCACTGTTATGTCCCAGCCCGTTACTGGTGTGTCCCAGTTCTTTCCCAGTTCATTCCCAGTCCATCCCAGTCCGGTACTGGTGGCACTGGTGCGGTTGCCGCTCCCGCTGGTGCCGGGAGGAGACACCGGGCAGGGACACCCCCAGTGTCCCCAGTATCCCCAGTGTCCCCAGTGTCCCCAGTGCCCCCAGTTCCCCCAGTTCCCCCAGTGTCCCCAGTGTCCCCAGTGTCCCCAGTGCTCCCAGTGCTCCCAGTATCCCCAGTATCCCCAGTCCGGCGGGTGCGGTGGGACTGAGGTGCCCCCGGTGTTTCCCGGTGCCCCAGATTTCCCCGGCACCCGCGGAATCCCCGGTGCCCCTGGGTGCTGCGGTGTCCCCGGTACCACCAGTACCGCCGGTTCCCCGGTTTCCCGGTGCTGTGGGTGCCCCGGTTCTCCCGGTTTTCCCCGTTCCCCCCCGTTCCCCGGTGCCCCCGGTGCCCTCCGCCCGCCGTTTCCCGGCACGGGCTGAGTAATTCGGGGCGCGGGGCTGACTCAGCGCCCCCAAACCCGGGCTCCGGTACCCCCGGTACCCTCGGTACTCCTGGTACCCCCCGGTACCCCCCGGTACTCCCGGTACCCCCAGGCCCCCCCGGGCCGGATGCGCGGGCGGCGCCGGCCCCAAAAAACTGGGGCAGGAGGAAAAGGGGGCGGGGGGAGCGAGCGGGGGTGACACACGTGTGTGGGGTGTCACACGTGTGTGGGGTGTCACACGTGTCCGTGGGGGATCACACGTGTCCCGGGGGTCACATGTGAGTGGGGGTGACATGTGAGTGGGGTGTCACACGTCCGGGGGTGACACGCTTGTGGCGGGGCTGGCACACGTGTCCTGGGTTGTCACGCGTGTCCGGGGTTGTCACGCGTGTCTGGGGGGGTCACATGTGTGTGGCAGCGCTGGCACACATGTCCAGGGTGTCCCACACGCGTGTGCAGGTGTGTCACACACGTCTGAAGGGGTGTCACACGTGTCCAGGTGTGTCACACGCGTGTGCAAGTGGAGGAGCAGCTGTGCAAGGGCCTTGCACGAGTGTCAGTGCCAGGCCAGGGCCATACTGGGATCTCCCCAGTTCCATACTGGGCCATACTGGGATCTCCCCAGTCCTGTACTGGGATCTCCCCAGTTCCATACTGGGCCATACTGGGATCTCCCCAGTCCCGTACTGGGCCATACTGGGATCTCCCCAGTCCCGTACTGGGCCATACTGGGAGCTCCCCAGTCCCGTACTGGGCCATACTGGGATCTCCCCAGTTCCATACTGGGCCATACTGGGATCTCCCCAGTCCCGTACTGGGCCATACTGGGATCTCCCCAGTTCCATACTGGGCCATACTGGGAGCTCCCCAGTCCCGTACTGGGCCATACTGGGAGCTCCCCAGTCCCGTACTGGGCCCCGCGCGTTTCCTGTCCCGGGGCCGTGTCCCAGTTGTGGCTTTGTGGCTGCGTCAGCGCCAGCACAGGGTGACAGGGGACAGTGGGGACATTGGGGACACTGGGGACATTGGGGACATTGGGTACCCCCCAGCCCAGGGGTGGCACTGGAGCCCGCTGTGACCAAAGGGGACACTGCCACCAGAGGGGACAGTGCGTGTGACACCGTGGGTGGCACAGGTGACACAGGAAGCCACGGGGTGACATCAGCACGGAGGGGACACGGGGGTGGCAGCGGCCACAGGGGACCGGGTGGTGACACGCGAAGCTGTGGGTGACATGTGAGGACACGGGGGATGTGTCCCACTGGTGACACGTGAGGCCACGGGTGACACTCGGTCCTAAAGGTGACACAGGAGTCCATAGGTGGCACCTGGTCCCACAGGTGACACCTGAAGCCACAGGTGACACTCGGTCCCACGGGTGACACACAAGCCCATGGGGACACCTGAACCACGGCAGGACACGGGTGGCACTGTGGGTCCCACAGGAGCCTGGTGACTGGGACCTTGTGCCTGTGTCCCCGTGCCAATGTCCCTGTGCCAATGTCCCCATGCCAATGTCCCCGCGCCAGTGTCCTCATGTCAGTGTCCTCATGTCAGTGTCCCTGTGTCAGTGTCCCTGTGCCAGTGTCCCCATGCAGTGTCCCCATGCCAATGTCCCCATGCCAATGTCCCCGTGCCAGTGTCCCCGTGTCACTGTCCCCGTGCCAGTGTCCCCGTGCCAATGTCCCTGTGTCAGTGTCCCAGTGTCCCCATGCCAGTGTCCCCGTGTCCCCCCAGCCCACATCGAGGTGATTCCCTGCAAGATCTGCGGGGACAAATCCTCCGGGGTGCACTACGGGGTCATCACCTGCGAGGGCTGCAAGGTGACACGGGGACATGGGGATGGGGGGGGGGGGACGGGGGACATTGGGGACATGGGGAGATATGGAGACATTGGGGACAGGGTGATGTGGGGACATGAGGACATGAGGGGAGGATATGGGGACATGGGGGATATGGGGACAGTTGGGGACATTGGGGACACAAGGATATGAGGGGGGACATGGGGACCTTGGTGAGCAGGGGGACATGGGGGGGGACAAGGGGGACATGGGGACATGGAGACACAGCGGAATATGGTGACAATGGGGGACATTGGGGGCACGAGGACATGAGGGGGGACATTGGGGACATGGGGACATTGGGGGACACGGGGAACATGAGGACATGAGCAAGGACTTGGGGACCTTGGGGAGCAGGGGGACATGGAGGGGACATTGGGACACTTGGGACGTGGGGACATTGGGGACAAGGGGGGAGATAGGCATATGGGGAAATGGGGACATGGAGGAATATGGGGACAGTTGGGGACATTGGGGACACAAGGACATGAGGGGGGACATGGGGACCTTGGTGAGCAGGGGGACATGGGGGGACAAGGGGGACATGGGGACATGTGGGGAGAACTTGGGGACATGGAGACACGGCGGAATATGGAGACAATGAGGGACATTGGGGACACGAGGACATGAGGGGGGACATGGAGACCTTGGTGAGCAGGGGGACATGGGGGGACAAGGGGGACATTGGGGACATGGGGACATTGGAGACATGGAGACACTGGGGACATGGGGACATGTGGGGAGAACTTGGGGACATGGAGGAACACGGGGACGATGGGTGACATTGGGGACTCGAGGGGGGGACATGGGGATCTTGGGGAGCAAAGGGACATGGGAGGGACATTGGGGGACATGGGGACATTGAGGGACATTGGGACACGGGGGACGTGTGGCCTATGGGGACATTGTCACAGGGGCTGCCACGGGTGGGTGTGGGGGCACCACGGGTGGCACCGGCGACGCGTGTGACACCGGTGCCACCGCAGGGCTTCTTCCGGCGCAGCGAGCGGCGCGGGCCGAGCCTGGCCCCGTGTCACCGCGGGCAGCGCTGCGACATCGACCGCGCCACCCGCACGCGCTGCCAGCACTGCCGCCTGCAGAAGTGCCTGCGCCTCGGCATGTCCCGCGACGGTGAGTGACAGCGCGGGGACAGCGCGGGGACAGCATGGGGACAGCGCGGGGACACCAGGGACTGTCCCTTGGGACACTGCTCTGTGACCCCGGGGGCATCGCTCTGCCTCTGGGGACAGCTGGAACCCCTGGGGACATCGCCCTGTGACCCTGGAGACAGCTGTACCCTCTGGAGACACTGCTCTGTGCTCTTGGGGACACCTGGAACCCCTGGGGACGCTGCCCTGTGACCCTGGGGACATCGCTCTGCCCCTGGGGACAGCTAGACCCCCCAAGGAACATCAATCTGGGACCCTGGGGACACCGCCCTGTGCCCTGGGGACATCGATCTGTGCCCTTGGGGACAGCTGGAACCCCTGGGGACATCGCCCTGTGACCCTGGGGACATCGGGGACTGTCCCTGGGGACACTGCTCTGTGCCCCCAGGGACAGATGGACCCTCTGGGGACATCAATTTGTGCCCTTGGGGACACCTGAACCTCCTGGGGACACTGCCCTGTGACCCTGGGGACATTGATCTGTGCTTCTGGGGACAGCTGTACTACCTGGGGACACCGGGGACTGTCCCTGGGGACATCACCCTGTGACCCTGGGGACATCGATCTGTGTTCTTGGGGACATCTGTTGTCCCACTCTGGGATCTGATGTCCCACTCTGGGGACACTGCCCTGTGACCCTGGGGACAGCTGGACCCGCCTCTGTTGTCCCCGCATTTGGTGACGCCTGTCCCCCAAAGCTGCAGACATCTGTCCCCTCCCTTGAGGACACCTGTCCCCACCTCGGTGCCACCTGAGGACACTTGTCCCCTGTCCCCTGTCCCTGTGCCACCTGAGGAAAATTGTCCCCTGTCCCTGCGCCACCTGGGGACAGCCCGAGGTGTCCCTGGGCTGGTGCCGCTCGGTGTCCCCGGTGCCACCCGCGCTGTCCCCTGTGTCCCCTCTGTCCCCGCAGCCGTCAAGTTCGGCCGCATGTCCAAGAAGCGGCGGGACCGGCTGCAGGCGGAGGTGCTGGAACAGCTGGAACAGCGGGAAAAGAACCGGGAACAAAACCGGGAACAAAACCGGGAACAGACCCGGGAACACCGGGAACAAACGCGGGAAAACCGGGAAGAAAACCGGGACCACCGGGAACGGCCGGAAAACCGGGAGAAAGGGGAAAAGGGGGAGAAATGGGAAAAGCGGGACCAGGACCGGGCGGCCCCGGTGCCACCGCAGCCCCCCCCGTTGTGGCGCTGTCCCCCGCTGTCCCCCGCTGTCCCCGCGGGCTGTCCCGGCAGGGCGTGGCCCGCGGAGGAGGCGACAAGGAGGGGACAGGACGGGGACAGCGCGGGGACAGCGGGGACAGGGCCGGTGCCTCTGCCCGGTGCTGGCGGCGTCCCGGAGTCACCGGCGGGGCTGGAGATCGGTGAGTGGCACCGGGACTGTCACCTGCGGGGGTGGCAGTGTCACCTGTCCGGGCGGGGGTGGTGGCACCTCGGGATGTCACCTGTGGGTGCTCCATGGTGGTGGCACCGCCTCTGTCACCCCCGGATGCCACCACGCTGGTGACCCCTTACCCATCAAGGCCACACACCGGGGCCAACCTCCCTGTCCCCAAGCCCTGAATGTCCCCTCAGAGCTGGTGACACAGTGTCATGTTGTCACACCGTGCCACCCTGGTGTCCTGCTGTCACACTGTGTCACCCCTGTGTCCTGCTGTCACCCCAGTGTCCTGCTGTCACACCGTGCCACCCCTGTGTCCCCTCAGAGCTGCTGACACAGAGTGTCCTGCTGTCACACCGTGCCACGTGCCACCCCTGTGCCGAGGACATCCAGGGCCACCGCTGGGCCACCTTCAGCCCCGAGGAGATCCGCGCCTACCAGAGCCAGGTGACACTGCTGTCCCCAAGGGAGGGTGACATGGCTGTCCCCAAGGCTGGGTGGCACGGGGGGTGACACGGCTGTCCCCAGCAGTGGGTGGGTGACACGGCTGTCCCCAGCGGTGACACGGGGGTGACACGGCTGTCCCCAGCAGTGGGTGGGTGACACGGCTGTCCCCAGCGGTGACACGGGGGGTGACATGGCTGTCCCCAGGGATGGGTGGGTGACACGGGGGTGACACTGCTGTCCCTAGGGTGACACGGGGGTGACGCGGCTGTCCCAGCAGTGGATGGGTGACACGGCTGTCCCCAGGGATGGGTGGGTGACACAGGGGTGACACGGCTGTCCCCAGCAGTGACACAGGGGTGACACGGCTGTCCCCAGGGATGGGTGGGTGACACAGGGGTGACACGGCTGTCCCCAGCAGTGGATGGGTGACATGGCTGTCCCCAGGGATGGGTGGGTGACACGGGGGTGACACGGCTGTCCCCAGCGGTGACACAGGGGTGACACGGCTGTCCCCAGGGATGGGTGGGTGACACAGGGGTGACACAGCTGTCCCCAGGGGCGGGTGGGTGACACGGGGGGTGACACGGCCGTCCCGCAGCCCATGGCGGCCATGTGGCAGCGCTGTGCCCGCCGTGTCACCGAGGCCATCGAGCGCGTGGTGGAGTTCGCCAAGCGCCTGCGCGGCTTCCGGCAGCTCAGCCAGCACGACCAGATCGTCCTGCTCAAGGCGGGTACGCGGCCACCGCCCTGTCCCCGTGGCACTGTCACCAACCCAGGGCCACCCCGGGCCGTGGTGCGCGCTCACAGCGACGCCCCGGGCCATTGTCACCGGCCCCAGGGACACCGCATCACATTGCCACCACCCCCAGGGCCACCCCACTGCATTGTCACCAGCTCCAGGGCCAGCCCATCTCACGGTCCCCAGCCCCAGGGACACCCCACTCCATTGTCACCAACCCCAAGGCCACCCCATCTCACTGTCCCCATCCCCAAGGCCACCCCACTCCATTGTCACCAGCCCCAGGGCCACCCTGTGCTCTTGTCCCCACCCCACTCCATTGTCCCTAGCCCCAAGGCCACCATGAGCCCTTGTCATCACCCCAGGGCCACCATGAGCCCTTGTCACCAGCCCCAGGGACATCCCGCTCCATTGTCCCCAACACCATGGCCACCCCACCCCATTGTCACCAGCCTCAGGGCCATTCTGTGCCCTTGTCCCCAGCCTAGGGACACTCCACCCCATTGTCCTCAGCCCCAGGGCCACCCCACCCCATTGTCACCAACACCAGGGCCACCCTGTGCCATTGTCCCCAGCCCCGTGGCCACCGCACCCCATTGCCACCATGCCCAGGGCCACCCCATCTCACTGTCCCCAGCCCCAGGGACACCCCACCCCACTGTCCCCAGCCTCTGTCCCCTCCATCCTCCTTGCAGACATGACAATCCCATGTGTCCCATGTTGACGTGACAGTCCCCAAAGTCCCCTCTATCCTCCCTGGCGAGGTGACAATCCCGTGTGTCCCACGGGGGAGGTGACAATCCCCTGTGTCCCGTAGCGAGGTGACAATCCTGTGTGTCCCACGGGGGAGGTGACAATCCCCTGTGTCCCGTAGCGAGGTGACAATCCCGTGTGCCCCACGGGGGAGGTGACACTCCCCAAACTCCCCCTCCACCCTCCCTGCCGAGGTGACACCGCCCGGGGCCACCCCCGCCGCCCCCCCCGTGGCCGGTGGCGGTGTCGCCGGTGCCAGCAGCGCTGTCCCCTCCCCGCGCGGTGACAGGTGCCATGGAGGTTGTCCTGCTCCGCATGTGCCGCGCCTTCGACGCCACCACGGGCACGGTGCTGTTCGAGGGCAAACTGGCGGGGCCCGAGCTCTTCCGCTCGCTGGGTAGGGCGGCGACACTTGGGGACGCCCGGGGACGCGTGGGGACAGCGGTGACACCGCGCTGTCCCCAGGGTGTCCCGAGCTGGTCGCGTCCGTGTTCGATTTCGCGCGGGGGCTGAGCGCGCTGCGCTGCTCCGAGAGCGAGCTGGCGCTGCTGAGCGCGCTGCTGCTGCTCAACGCCGGTCAGCCGCTGTCCCCGAGTGTCCCCGGGTGTCCCCGAGTGTCGCTCAGTGTCCCCCCGGTGTCCCCACCCCCTGTCCTGCTCCGTGTCCCCGCCCCGTGTCCCCGTGTCCCTCCCTGTGTGTTCCCCAAATCCGAAATGGGGTTTGGCCCTAAGCGGGGTGGGCGGCGGGGTGTCCCCAAGGTGTCCCTGAAGTGTCCCCAAGGTGTTCCTGAAGTGTCCCCAAGGTGTCCCTAAAATGTCCCCAGGGTGTCCCCAAGGCGTACCTAAGGTGTCCCCAGGGTGTCCCCAAGGTGTCCCTAAGGTGTCCTCAGGGTATCCCCAGGGTGTCCCTGAAGTGTCCCCAAGCTGTTTCTAAGGTGTCCTTAAGGTATCCCCAGCGTGTCCCCACGGTGTCCCCAGGCTGTCCCCCACAGTGTCCCCAAGGTGTCCCCACCCCCTGTCCTGCTCTGTGTCCCCGCCCTGTGTCCCCGTGTCCCTCCCCACGTGCTCCCCAAACTCCAAACGGGGTTTGTCCCTAAGCGGGGTGGGCGGCGGGGTGTCCCCAAGGTGTCCCTGAAGTGTCCCCAAGGTGTCCCTAAAATGTCCCCAGGGTGTCCCCAAGGTGTCCCCAAAGTGTCCTCACGGTGTCCCCAAGGTGTCCCTAAGGTGTCTCCAGGGTATCCCTAAGGTGTCCTTAAGGTGTCCCCAGGGTGTCCCTAAGGTGTCCTTAAGGTGTCCCCATAGTGTTCCCAGGATGTCCCCGGGTGTCCCTAAGGTGTTCCTGGGGTGTCCCCAAGGTGTCCCCGAGGTGTCCCCCACAGTGCCCCCAGGGTGTCCCCCAAGGTATCCCTTAGATGTCCCCAGGGTGTCCCCAGGGTGTCCCCCAAGGTATCCCCAGGGTGTCCCCAAGGTGTCCCCAAGGTGTCCCTAAGGTGTTGCCAGGGTGTACCCAGGGTGTATCCAGAGTGTCCCCAAGGTGTCTCCAAGGTGTCCTCAGGGTGTCCCCAGGGTGTTCCCAAAGTGTCCCCAAGCTGTCCCTAAGTTGCCCTTAAGGTGTCCCTAAGGTGTCCCCACAGTGTCCCCCACACTGTCCCTAGGGTGCCCCCAGGGTGTCCCCAAACCTCCGTCCCTCTTCCCACATCCCTGACCCTGTCCCCACACCCGTGTCCCTGTCCCCATGCCCCTGCCAGTGTTCCCTGTCTGTGTCCCCAGTTCCTGTCCCCACACCGGTCCGTGTCCCCACACCCCGTCCCTGTCCCCATCCCGCTGTCCCCATGCCCTGTCCGTGTCCCCACACCCTGTCCCTTTCCTTGTCCCTGTCCCCACACCCTGTCCCTATCCCTGTCCCTGTCCCCACATCCCTGTTACTGTCCCTACACCCTGTCCCTACACACCGTTCGTGTCCGTATCCCTGTCCCCACGCCCTGTGGGTGTCCCTGTCCCTGTCCCCAGCCCTGTCCCCGCTGTCCCCAGGCCCTGTCCCTGTCCCCAGCCGTGTCGGTGTCCCCGCTGTCCCCATGTCCGTGTCCCTGTCCGTGTCCCCAGCCCTGTCCCCGCTGTCCCCATGTCCGTGTCCCCAGCCTGTCCCCGCTGTCCCCAGGCCGGCCGTGGCTGCAGGACCGCCCGCGGGTGGCGCGGCTGCAGGGACAGATCGATGTCGCCTTCCGGGGGCTGCTGCGCCGGACCCGCCGCGAGGGGATCCTGCCACGGGTGGGGACACCGCGGGGGGACACGGGGACACCGGGGAGGGGACACCGGGACACGGGGGGGGACACCGGGACACCGAGGGACACCGGGGGAGAGGACACTGGGGACATCGAGGGACACCGGGACACCGAGGGGGGACACCGGGACACCGGGACATGGGGACATCGAGGGACACCGGGACACTGAGGGGGGAGACAATGGGGACATCGAGGGACACTGAGAGGGGACACAGGGACACCGGGACATCGGGGAGGGGACATGGGGATACCGGGACACCGCGACACCGGGGAGGGGACACGGGGACATCGAGGGACACGGGGATACCGAGGATACTGGGGTGGGGACACGGGGACACCGGGGGAGAAACACCGGAGAGGGGACATCGAGAGACACGGGGACATCGAGGAGGACACAGGGGGAGAAGCGGGTGACACGGGGGGACACCGGGGAGGGGACGCCGGGACACCAGGACATCGAGGGACACGGGGATACCAGAGAGGGGACAAGGGAGGACATGAGGGGACATCGGGGGGACACAGGGAAGAGGACAAGGGGACACCAGGGAGGGACACCGGGACATCGAGGGACAGGGGGAAACCGGGGAAGGGACACGGGGGGACACTGGGGGGTGACACCGACACACCGGGGAGAGGACACCGGGACATCGAGGGACACGGGGACACCGAGAGGGGACACGGGGACATCGGGGAGGGGACATGGGGGTCGGGGGGGTCCCTGGAGATCTTTGGGCATGAGGGGGGAATTTGGGGACATTGGGGGCGACCCTGGGTCAGGGGGTTCCCCTCGCGTGTGTCCCCTCGGTGTCCCAGCCGTGTCCCCTCAGTGTCCCCGTGTGTCCCCGCGGTGTCACAGCCGTGTCCCCGCCGTGTCCCCGCAGCTGCCCGCCCCGGGCCGGCTCCGCGCTCTGTGCTCGCAGCACCTGGAGCAGGTTCAGGCTTTCCGCCGCCTGCACCCCGCGGGGGTCTCGGCCGCCTTCCCGCCGCTCTACCGGGAGCTCTTCGCCCCCGACGCCGCCGATGGCCCCGCGGGGACCCGCTGAGCGCCACCGGGGACAACCGGGATTACCGGGACCGCCCCTGCCCCTGGGGATGCTCCCACCCAGGCACCTGCCGGGAATGCGGCGGCGTTTGAGGGCAATAAAGGCGTTTTTGGGGACCGCGTGTGCGTGGGCTCCGTTACGGGGACACGCGGGGACACCGGGAGCGGCGTTAGAGCCCCGCCACGTTCAGCCCTCCGAGTTCCTATAGGCTGTTATGCCTGTCACTCAAACAAGGAGGCGGGCATTAGGATTTTCTGGCTCGCTGATTGGTTCTCCTCTCCGCTACTCGCTGCTGATTGGTTACTTTATTCCCGTTATTTCCCGCCCCCGCATGCGGGAGGTCTCGCGGGGATTGGCCGCTGCTCCGCAGGCGGTGATTGGGTGGGAGCGATGCGGGGCCGCGCTGTGATTGGCTGGGAGGGGAGGAGCCGCGATGTGATTGGTGGAGAGCGGGAGGAGGCGTGGCCAGCGGCGGGGCGCGGGAGGCGGCGGCGGCACCGGGGCCGCACCGGGCCCGAACCGGGGCCGGGCCCGAACCGGGGCCTTGCGGGGCCGGGCTGGGCCGAACCGGGGTCGCTGCAGGGCCGAGGGGCGGCCCTGGCACCTGCAGGTACCGTGAGACCACCGGGGGGGCGCGGCCGAGGCGGCTGCGGGGGCTCCGCTGTCGCTGCACCGGGCCCGGGGCCTGCACCGGCGCGCCCGGAGCCGAACCCTCCGTGAGGGGGCGGGTGGGGAGTCCCCGGAGTGGGGGTGCAACGCAGTCCGGCCGCACCGGGAGCTCCCGGTGGGCTCTCGGTAACCCCCGGTAATCCCCCGGTAAAGCCCGGTAAAGCCCCGTCCGCAGCCGGCCATGGCGGGACGCGGCCCCGTGCACAGCCTGAGCAGCCTGCAGAAAACCGCCCTGCTGCTGGGCGTCCCGGCCGCCGCCACCGTGCTCTACATCCTGTACCGGCGCTACCGGGAGAGCCGAGGTGGGTCCGGGTCTCACACCGGGGCCTGGCCTGACCCCCCCGGGACCACCGGGAGCTCCCTCGGGGCCCTCCGCGGGGAAGGGGAACCCGCGGGAGCCGCTTTGCCCACCGGGAATTGCCTTGTGAGCTCCTCGCTGTCCCTTTGGGGACACCCTTGGGGACACCCTAAGGACACCCTGGGGACACTTTGGGGACACCTTGGGGACACCCTAAGGATATCCTGGGGAGCCTTTGGGGACACCAGGGGAACTTGGGGACCTTTGGGGACACCCTGGGGACACTTTGGGGACACCCTTGGGGACACCCTTGGGGACCTTTTGGGGACACCCTGGGATTCCTTTGGAGACACCCTTGGGGGACACCCTTGGGGACACCCTGGGGACATCGTGGGGACACCCTGGGGACGCTTTGGGGACACTTTGGGAGCACCTTGGGGACACTTTGGGGACATCCTTGGGGACACCCTTGGAGACATCCTGGGGACCTTTTGGGGACACCCTGGGGACACCCTGAGGACACTTTGGGGACACCCTTGGGCCACCCTGGGGACCCTTTGGGGACACCCTGGGGACACTTTGGGGACACCCTTGGGGACACCCTAAGGACATCCTGGGGGACATTTTGGGGACACCCTTTGGGGCCACCCTGGGTGGTCTTTTGGGGACTTTCTGGTGACACCTTGGGGACCCTTTGGGGCCACGCTGGGGACACTCTGGGGACACTTTGGGGACACTTTGGGGACCCCAATGGGAAGTGGGGGTGTCTTTTCCCAGTGGGAATTCTCTGTTTGTCACCCCCGTCCCCGAGGCTGTCCCCACCCCTCGGTGTCCCCTTGGTGACCCAGCCGTGTCCCCGTGTCCCCTCAGAGGCGCAGGTGACACTGGTGGCAGACGAGGGGCTGGAGGTGACGGTCAGGGTGCCCCGCACGGCCCTGAAAGCGCTGATCGGCCGCCGGGGGGCCACCATCAACCAGGTGGGGACACTGGGGGGTACTGGGAGCACTGGGGGAACTGGGGGTGCTGGGAACACTGGGATGGGGAACTGGGGGAACTGGGAGTGATGGGATGGGGAACTGGGGGAACTGGGAACACTGGGGGATACTGGGAACACTGGGGGAACTGGGGGTGCTGGGAACACTGGGATGGGGAACTGGGGGAACGGGGAGTGATGGGATGGGGAACTGGGGGAACTGGGAACACTGGGGGATACTGGGAACACTCGGATGGGGAACTGGGGGAACTGGGATGGGGAACTGGGGGAACTGGGAACACTGAGGGATACTGGGAACACTCGGATGGGGAACTGGGGGAACTGGGAACACTGGAATGGGGAACTGGGAACACTGGGATGGGGAACTGGGGGAACTGGGATGGGGAACTGGGGGAACTGGGGGAACTGGGAACACTGGGATGGGGAACTGGGAACACTGGGATGGGGAACTGGGGGTGCTGGGAGCGCTGGGGGCAGCACTGGGGGTACTGGGAACACTGGGGGAACTTGGGGAACTGGGAACACTGGGAGGGCTTGGGGCAGCACTGGGGATACTGGGAGTGCTGGGGCAACTGGGAACTGGGGGGACTGGGAACACTGGGAGTGCTGGGGAACTGGGAGAACTGGGAACACTGGGGGAACTGGGGGAACTGGGAACACTGGGGGAACTGGGGGTGCTGGGAGGGCTGGGGGCAGCACTGGAGGAACTGAGAGTGATGGGGGAACTGGGGGTGCTGGGGAACTGGAGGTGCTGGGGAACTGGGGGAACTGGGAGTGCTGGGGAACTGGGAGTACTGGGGGGACTGGGAACACTGGGAGGGCTGGGGGAACTGGGAGTGCTGGGGCACTGGGGGAATTGGGGGAATTGGAAGCGCTGGGAGTGCCAGGAGTATGGGGAGCACTGGGGGAACTGGTGGCACTGAGAGCAATAGGAATGCTGGGGGTACTGGGAGCACTGGGGGTGCTGGGAGCAGTGGGGGAACTGGGGGCAATGGGGACACTGAGAGTGCTGGGAGTGCTGGGGGAACTGGAGGCACTGGGGGAACTGGGAGTACTGGGGACACTGGGAGCACTGGCAGTACTGGGGGAAGTGGGAGTGCTGGGAGCACTGGGAGTGCTGGGAGCACCGGGAGCACTGGGGGAACTGGGAGCACTGGGAGCACTGGGGACACTGGGGGAAGTGGGGGCACTGGGAGCACTGGGAGCACTGGGAGCACTGGGGGAACTGGGAACACTGGGAGCACTGGGGACACTGGGAACACTGGGGGAACTGGGAGCACTGGGAGCACTGGGGGAACTGGGAGCACTGGGAGCACTGGGGGAACTGGGAGCACTGGGGGAGCTGGGGGCACCAGGAGTGCCACCTCCTCACCATCGCCGCAGCTGAGGCAGGAGACGGGAGCGCAGATCGAGGTGGAGGAGGAGGAGGAGGAGGAGGAGGAAGGGCAGTCGCTGGTGCAGATCTCGGGCTCGCCGGGCCAGGTGTGCCGGGCCAGGGCGGCCGTGCTGCGCATCGTGGCCGACAGCGCCCCCGTGGCCGAGCAGCTGCGCGTGCCCCAGCGGGCCGTGGGCAGGATCATCGGTACGGGGCACCCCTAAGCCTGGAGGCATCTTCCATAGCCACAGGGACACCCCAAATCCCAAGGGAACCCCAAATCCCCGAGCAGCTGCCTGTGCCCCAGCGGGCCGTAGGCAGGATCATCGGTACGGGGCACCCCGAAACCTTGGGGGGAGCTTTTGTACCCCCTGGGACACCCCAAATCCCACGGGAACCCGAAATCCCCAAGCAGCTCCATGTGCTCCAGTGGGCCATGGGCAGGATCATTGGAACGGGGCACCCCAAATCCCAAGGAAAACCTTCTGTATCCCCAGATCCCACGGGGAACCTTCTGTATCCCCTGGGACACCCCAAATCCTGGGTGAACCCCAATCCCAAACTCCCAATCCCCAAACCCCCTTCCTACCCCCAAACCCCTTTCCCCATTCCTCATTCCCTTTGCCCCCCGCCCCAAACCCCGTCTCCCCGTTCATGCCCCCCGGTTCCGCTCCCGGTTCCCCGCAGGCCGCGGCGGGGAGACCGTCCGGGCCATCTGCCGCAGCTCCGGGGCCCGCGTGGAGTGCGGTGCCCACGACCCCGAGGGCAGCCTGGCCCCGCTGCGCATCATCCGCCTGCTGGGGACGCGCTCCGAGGTGGAGGCGGCCAAGGTGAGCGCGGATCCGCCGCTTTTTGGGGGGCTCCTTCACCCCCCGGGACCCTCATCCTCCTCCCGGTGCTCCTGGTAGAAGCTGATCATGGAGAAGCTGTCGGAGGACAAGGCGTTCCGCCGGGAGCTGGCGCAGGCGGCGGCCGCGCGGTGCCCGCGGAAGCAGCCCCTGGGCAGCCGCCGGGAGCCGCCGGTGCCGCCCGCCGCCGGTGGTGCCCCCGGGAGCGCCGCGGGGGGATGGCAGGAGTGCTGGGATGCCGAATGGGCACCGGCGGGCGGCACCGGAGCGGCGGCGGGGAGCGACGGGATGGAGGCGGAGATGGGGAGCGAGGAGCGCCGGGATGCGGGAGAGGAGCCCCGGGAGCCCCGGAATGCAGGAGAGGAGCCCCGGGAGCTCCGGGATACCGGAGAGGAGCCCCAGGAGCTCCGGGATACCGGAGAGGAGCCGCCCGTGGCCAAGTTCGAGGGTGAGAGCGGAGCTGGGGCGGTTCCCGCTGGGGATTTTGGGGTGAGGATGGATTTTCTGGGGATTTTGGGGTGTGGGGAGGGATTTTGGGCAGTTCCCTCCATCCTTCCTGTGCCTTTCCTGGAAGGATTTTGGGGATTCCCTCAGTCCTAGGGCTCTCCTGTGCCTTTCCCAGAGGGATTTTGGGGGTTCCCTCCATCCTGGGGCTCTCCCATTTGGGGGTTCCCTCCATCCTGGGGCTCTCCTTTGCCTTTCCCAAGGGATTTTGGGGTTCCCTTCATCCTGGGGCTCTGCTGTGCCTTTCCTGGAAGGATTTTTGGGGGTTCCCTCCATCCTGGGGCTCTCCCATTTGGGGGTTCCATCCATCCTGGGGCTCTCCTGTGCCTTTCCCAGAGGGATTTTGGGGGTTCCCTCCATCCTGGGGCTCTCCCATTTGGGGGTTCCATCCATCCTGGGGCTCTCCTTTGCCTTTCCCTGAGGGATTTTGGGGGGGATTCATGGGATTCCCCTCATGCTGTGGCTGTCTTGGTGGGATTTTGGGGGGATTTTGGTTGGATTTCGGAGAATTTGGGGTGGATTTCGGTGGATTTTGGGTAGATCTCAGTGGATCTTGGGTGGATTTCAGTAGATTTTGGGTAGATTTCAGTGGATTTGGGGTGAATTGCAGTGGATTTTGGGAAGATTTCAATGGATTTCAGGTAGATTTTGGGTGGATTTCAGTAGATTTTGGGTAGATTTCGGTGGATTTTGGGTGGATTTCAGTGGGTTTTCGGTAGATTTCAGGTAGATTTTGGGTAGATTTCAACGGATTTCGGGTAGATTTTGGGTGGATTTCAGTGGATTTTTGGTAGATTTCAGTGGATTTGGGGTAGATTTTGGGTAGATTTCAGTGGATCTGGGGTGGGTTTCAGTAGATTTCAATTGATTTGGGGTCGATTTTGGGTAGATTGCAGTGGATTTCAGTGGATTTTGGGTAGATTTCAGTGGGTTTGGGGTGGATTTCAGTGGATTTTGGGTGGATTTCAATGGATTTCAGTGGATTTTGGGTAGATTTTGGGTAGATTTCAGTGGGTTTGGGGTGGATTTCAGTGGATTTTGGGTAAATTTCTGTGGATTTTGGGTAGATTTTGGGTAGATTTCAGTGGATCTGGGGTAGGTTTCAGTAGATTTCAATGGATTTGGGGTAGATTTCAGTGGATTTCAGTGGATTTTGGGTAGATTTCAGTGGATTTTGGGTAGATTTTGGGTGGATTTCAGTGGATCTGGGGTGGGTTTCAATGGATTTCAGTGGATTTTGGGTAGATTTCAGTGGATTTTGGGTAGATTTCAGTGGATTTTGGGTAGATTTTGGGTAGATTTCAGTGGGTTTGGGGTGGATTTCAGTGGATTTTGGGTAAATTTCTGTGGATTTTGGGTAGATTTTGGGTAGATTTCAGTGGATTTTGGGTAGATTTCAGTGGATTTCAGTGGATTTGGGGTAGATTTTGGGTAGATTTCAGTGGATCTGGGGTGGGTTTCAATGGATTTCAGTCGATTTTGGGTAGATTTCAGTGGATTTGGGGTAGATTTTGGGTAGATTTCAGTGGATTTCAGTGGATTTTGGGTAGATTTTGGGTAGATTTCAGTGGATTTTGGGTAGATTTCAGTGGATTTCAGTGGATTTGGGGTAGATTTTGGGTAGATTTCAGTGGATTTCCGTGCTCTGGGGCTGCCCCAGTGCCCAGCCCAGATTTCAGTTTCCCTGCTGACGAGCACCTGGACGTTTACGTGTCGGCGGCCGAGAGCCCCGGGCACTTCTGGATCCAACTGCTGGGCACGCGGAGCCTGCAGCTGGACAAACTGACAGCTGAGATGGGGCTCTTCTACCAGAGCAGCCCCCCCGTGAGTCCCCTGTGTCACCTGTGTCCCCTCAATGTCCCCTGTGTCCCCTCAATGCCCCCTGTGTCCCCTCAGTGTCCCCTGTGTCCCCTCAGTGTCCCCCATGTCCCAGCACTGAACAAGTTCATGGCCAAGATGGGGCACTTCTACCAGAGCAGCCCCCGCCGTGAGTCTCTTCTGTCACCTCTGTGTCCCCTCAGTGTCCCCTCTGTCCCATCTGTGTCCCCTCTGTGTCCCTCACCATGTCCCCTGGTGTCCCAGCACTGTCCCCTATCCCGTGTCCCCTTCTGTCCCAACACTGTCACGCTGTCCCCATATCCCCTCTTGTCCCTTTGGGGACACCCTTGGGGACACCCTGGGGACACTTTGGGGACACCCTGGGAAGTGGGGGTGCCTTGGAGTTCCCTGTCCCCACCATGTCCCTGTCCCCATGTCCCTGCTGTCCCAGCACTGTGTCCCTCCCATGTCCCTTATCCCCATCCTCTGTCCTGTCCCACCACTGTCGCCACCATGTCCATGTCCTCCTGTCCTTCTGTCCCCATGTCCCTGCTGTCCCAGCACTGTCCCCTATCCCATGTCCCCCTGTCCCTATGTCCCCTTCTGTCCCAGCTCTGTCCCCACCATGTCCCTTACCCCCATCCCGTGTCCCCTCCTGTCCCAGCACTGTCCCCTTGTGTCCCTCCCATGTCCCCTGACTGTCCCCATGCCCCTGTGTCCCTCCCTGTCCCCTGAGTGTCCCGGTGTCCCTCTGTCCCTCCCGTATCCCCTTCCGTGTCCCCTGACTGTCCCTGTGTCCCTCCTGTGTCCCCTGACTGTCCCCATGTCCCTGCTGTCCCAGCACTGTCCCCACCATGTCCCTTACCCCCTGTCCCCATGTCCCTGTGTCCCTCCCATGTCCCCTCATGCCCCTCCCTGTCCCCTGACTGTCCCCGTGTCCCTGCTGTCCCTTCATGCCCCTCTCATGTCCCCTGACTGTCCCCATGTCCCCGCCCTCCATGCCCTGTCCCACCATATCCCCTGACTGTCCCTGTGTCCCTCTGGTGTCCCCTGACTGTCCCCATGTCCCTACTGTCCCTTCATGCCCCTCTCATGTCCCCTGACCGTCCCCGTGTCCCTGTGTCCCCTCATGTCCCTCTCATGTCCCCTGACTGTCCCCATGTCCCTGCTCTCCATGCCCTGTCCCACCATGTCCCCTGACTGTCCCTGTGTCCCTCCCTGTCCCCTGAGTGTCCCCTGACTGTCCCCAGGTGCCACCCCCGTCCGTGCACCCCGGTGCCATCGTGGCCGCGCCGTACCTGGACGATGGCGAGTGGTACCGGGCGCGGGTGTTGGGGACACTGGACAACGGCCACCTGGACCTGTACTACGTGGACTTTGGGGACAACGGCCAGGCCCCCCCCGAGGCCCTGCGCGCCCTCAGGTGTGCGGGGGGTGGCGCTGTCCCCGTCCCCTGGGGTAACGTCCCTGTCCCCAGGGAGTGCCACCGCCGTGTCCTTGCAGGAGCGACTTCCTGAGCCTGCCCTTCCAGGCCATCGAGTGCAGCCTGGCCGGGATTGTCCCCAACGGTGAGAGGGGTGGGACAGCTCTGTCACCTGGGGTGGGACAGCTCTGTCACCTGCTGGGGTGGGACAGCTCTGTCACCTTGGGTGGGACATAGCAGTGTCACCCTCTGGGGGTGGGACAGCTCTGTCACCTCCTTGGGTTGCACATGGCACTGTCACCTGGGGTGGGACATGGCAGTGTCACCCTCTGGGGGTGGGACAGCTCTGTCACCTCCTTGGGTTGCACATGGCACTGTCACCTGGGGTGGGACATGGCACTGTCACCTCCTGGGGGGGTGGCACAGAGTCCATTCCCAGGCTGTGTCACCGCTGTCCTGGTGTGTCCAGTGTCCCACTGTCACAGTGTGTCCCCGTGTCACCGCTGTCCTGGTGTGTCCAGTGTGACTGGTGTGTCCTGGTGGCACCATTGTCCTGCTGTCACTTCTGTCCTGGTGTGTCCCACAGGTGGCTCATGGCCCTGTCGTCGTGTCACTGTCACAGGTGTCCCCATGTCCCTGTCTCATTGTCCCCATGTCCCCACAGGTGGCTCATGGCCTGAAGCCCTGCAGGAGTTCGATCAGCTCCCCTGTCCCTGTGTCACTGTCACAGCTGTTCCTGTGTCACTGTCACAGGTGTCCCTATGTCCCCACAGGTGGCTCGTGGCCTGAAGCAGCCCTGCAGGAGTTTGACAGGCTCAATGGTCACTGTCACAGCTGTCCCCATGTCCCCGTGTCACTGTCCCCATGTCCCCATGTCCCCGTGTCACTGTCCCCGTGTCCCCACAGGTGGCTCGTGGCCCGAGGCCGCCCTGCAGGAGTTCGAGTGTCCCTGTGTCACTGTCACAGCTGTCCCCGTGTCCCCACAGGTGGCTCGTGGCCCGAGGCCGCCCTGCAGGAGTTCGAGTGTCCCTGTGTCACTGTCACAGGTGTCCCCATGTCCCCACAGGTGGCTCGTGGCCCGAGGCCGCCCTGCAGGAGTTCGATCAGCTCAGTGCTCACTGTGTCACTGTCCCCGTGTTCCCATGTCCCCGTGTCACTGTCCCCATGTCCCCACAGGTGGCTCGTGGCCCGAAGCCGCCCTGCAGGAGTTCGAGTGTCCCTGTGTCACTGTCACTGTCCCCGTGTCCCCACAGGTGGCTCGTGGCCCGAGGCCGCCCTGCAGGAGTTCGAGTGTCCCTGTGTCACTGTCACAGGTGTCCCCATGTCCCCACAGGTGGCTCGTGGCCCGAGGCCGCCCTGCAGGAGTTCGATCAGCTCAGTGCTCACTGTGTCACTGTCCCCGTGTTCCCATGTCCCCGTGTCACTGTCCCCATGTCCCCACAGGTGGCTCGTGGCCCGAGGCCGCCCTGCAGGAGTTCGAGTGTCCCTGTGTCACTGTCACAGGTGTCCCCGTGTCCCCACAGGTGGCTCGTGGCCCGAGGCCGCCCTGCAGGAGTTCGATCGCCTCACGGGCTGTGCCCAGTGGGCCCCGTTGGTCGCTCGGATCTGCAGCTACGGCCCCGCGGGGCCCTGCCTGCGCCTCTACACACACTGCCAGGGACAGGTCAGTGACAGCTGCCACCAACTGTCCCCTAGGGCCACCAGAAATGTCCCCAGGGTCACCAGAACTGCCCCCCGTTGTCCCCATTCCTGGTGTCACCAGAGCCACAGGCAGATGTCTCACCAGGGTCACCAGGTGTCACCAAGTGTCCCCAGAACTGTCCCCAGGTGTCTGAAGTGTTCCCATTTCTGGTGTTACCAGAGCCACAGGCAGGTGTGTCACCAGTGTCTCCAGGTGTCACCAAATGTCACCAGAGCTCTCCCCAAGTGTCCCCAGGGTCACCAGAACTGTCCCCAGGTGTCCCCTTTCCTGGTGTTCCCAGAGCTGTGGGCAGGTGTCTCACCAGTGTCACCAGGTGTCACCAAGTGTCCTCAGAACTGTCCCCACGTGTCCCCAAGTGTCTCCAGGGTCACCAGAACTGTCCCTAAGGGTCATCAAACTGTCTCCAGGTGTCCCCAGGTCACCAGAACTGTCCCCAGTATCCCCATTCCTCGTGTTCCCAGAGACATAGGCAGGTGTGTCACCAGTGTCCCTAGTGTCCCCAGGGTCACCAGAACTGTCCCTAAGGGTCACCAGAACTGTCCCCAGGTGTCCCCTTTCCTGGTGTTCCCAGTGACACGGGCAGGGGTCACCAGGATCCCCAGAACTGTCCCCAAGTGTCCCCAGGGTCACCAGAACTGTCCCCAGTGCCCCCATTCCTGGTGTTCCCAGCTACAAGGACAGGTGTGTCACCAGGGCCACCAGGTGTCCCCAGAACTGTCCCCAGGTGTCCCCAGAAGTGTCCCCATTCCTGGTGTTCCCAGAGCCACAGGCAGGTGCATCATCAGGGTCCCCAAGTGTCCCCAGAAATGTCCCCAAGTATCCTCGGGGTCCCCAGAACTGTCCCCAGGTGTCCCCATTCCCGGTGTTCCCAGTGACATGGACAGGTGTGTCACCAGGGTCACCAGAATTGTCCCCAGTGTCCCCAGGTGTCCTCACTCACAACTGTCCCCATTCCTGGTGTTCGCAGTCACACAAACAGGTGTGTCCCTAGTGTCACCAGTGTCCCCAGAACTGTCCCCAGTAACTGTCCCCACCCCTGGTGCCCCCTGTGCCACAGCCAGGTGTGTCCCCAACTGTCCCCTCATGCAATTCCCGCCATTCCCTGTCCCCTCATTGTCCCCTGTCCCCGGTGTCCCCGCAGAGCCTGGACGTGGGAGCAGAGCTGGTGCGTTTGGGCTACGCCGTGCCCGGGCCGCCCGAGGAGCCCCCGGTGAGCTGCTCCCGGTGTCCCCGTGTCCCCTCACGGTGTCCCCTCACGGTGTCCCGGTGTCCCGGGAGGGCTCATCCCGCTCTTCCCGGCAGGACAATCTCGGCTGCGCCCCCATCCCGAGCCCGGTGGAGCCCGGGGACAGCCCCGGGGACAGCCCCGAGACCTCGTCCTGCCTCAGCGTGCCCGGTGAGCCCGGTGTGTCCCGGTGACACCGTTCAGTGACACCATTCCCGGTGTGCCCCCGGGAACGGTGTCGGGACCCCCCTGACCCCTCCCCGCTCCCGCAGCCGCCGCCGCTGCCGTGCCCGGGGACGCCGTCACGGTGACCTGAAGCTGCCCGGTGCCACCGGGAGCCGCTCCCGGTGCCGCCATCCCGGTAACCGGAGCCGCTCCCGGTGCCACCACCGAGTGCAATCCCTTCTCCGGAGCCCTCCGGGAGGCCGCACCGACAAATCGCGGGGATCTCCGCTTGTGCCTCTTGTCGGGACACGACACACCGCGGCCGAGGGCCGGCGGTGCCCCTTCCGTTACCGGGAGTTCCCGGTTCCCTCGCCTTGTTTTGCTGTTCCGTTGCACTAATTGTGGTTCTGAGTTAATAAAGTTGAAGGTTTCTCAGCGCTCCGTTCTCGCCGCGGCGGCTCCCAACGGGAACCGGGAGCAGGCGCGCCGCGGGCAGCCCCCGGTGGGGTCCTTCCGGTCCGGTGCGCCCGTCCCGCGCAGGCGCGCTGAGGGCAGCCCCGCCGGGCTTTGCGCAGGCGCAGTGCGGACAGCGCGGGGTCCTCAGCGCCGTGAGGGGAGCGGGGCCGCCATGTTGGGCCCGGGGGCGGCGGGACGGGTGCTGAGCCGGGCCCTGAGCCTGAGCCATGGCCCGGTGAGGGCGGGAACACCGGGAGTGGCGGGGGGACGGGCCCTGAGCCTGAGCCATGGCCCGGTGAGGGCGGGGACACCGGGAGTGGCGGGAGGCGCCTGGGGGTGGGTACCGGGGGAACGGGACGGGCTTTGACCCAGAGCGAAGCGGCACCGGGGATGGGGGGGCCGGGGCCGGGGCCGGGGCCGGGCCTGGGGTCGGTGCCGGGGGTGGCGGGACGGGCCCTGAGCCGGACCCATACCCCCGTTATGGAACCCTATAGACCCCATAGGCCCTGTAGACCCCATAACCCCTTTATGGGACCCTATAGACCCCATAGGCCCTATAGATCCCATAGACTCTATAGACCCCATAACCCCATTATGGAACCCTATAGACCCCACAGTCCCTGTACCGTACCCAGCCCCATAACCCCTGGTCGAGTTCCCCTCATAATGGGGCTGTAATCCCCCATTAGAGCCCCCCCAGACCCCATAACCCCCCACAGCCCTCAGAGACCCCATAACTCCCCATTGTTATGGGAATGATGGGGCTCAGTGCCCCATCCCAAACCCCATTCCCATTGGGACCCCTCTGGAGCATTCCGAAACCCCACAGGGCTCAGTGCCCTGTTCCCATCAGAACCCTTTAGAACATTCCGGAACCCCACAGGGCTCGGTGCCACATTCCCTTTGGGACTCTCGGGAACATTCCATATGTGCAGGTCTCGGTGCCCCATTCTCATCAAAACCCTTTAGAACGTTCCAGAACCCTGCAGGGCTTGGTTCCTTGTTCCCATCAGAACCCTTTAGAACATTCTGGAGCCCCTCAGGTCTCGGTGCCCCGTTCCCATCAGAACCCTTTAGAATGTTCTGGAACCCCGCAGGACTTGGTGCCCCATCCCAAGCCCCATTCCCATCAGAACCTTCTGGAACATTCCAGAGCCCCACAGGGCTCAGTGCCCCTATTCCCATCAGAACCCTTTAGAACATTCTGGAACCCCTTGGGTCTTGGTGCCCCGTTCCCATCAGAACCCTTTAGAACATTCTGGAACCCCTTGGGTCTTGGTGCCCTGTTCCCATCAGAACCCTTTAGAACATTCTGGAACCTCACAGGTCCTGGTGCCCCGTTCCCATCAGAACCCTTTAGAACCTTCTGGAACCTCACAGGTCTCAGTGCCCCATTCCCATCAGAACCCTTTAGAACCTTCCGGAACGTTCCATCCCGCAGGCCTCGGTGGTGGTGGAGCGCGTGTGGCCGGTGCCGCTGGCCCGGGCTGGAGCCGCTCCCCGGCTACACCCGCGGCGACACCGGGTGTACCGAGTGCTGAGGGACGGGAAACACCAACCCCGGGGGGACATGGAGCTGCTGCTGAGCCGGGCCGTGCAGGGTGAGCTGGGGGTGCCTCGTTCCCTTGGGGTGCCTCATTCCCTTGGTCTGGGGGGCCTCATTCCTTTGGGTCTGGGGTGCCTCTTTCCCTTGGGGGGGCCCTCATTCCCTGGGTCTGGGAGTTCCTAATTCTCTTGGGGGGCCTCATTCCCTGAGTCTGGGGGGCCTCATTCCCTGGGTCTGGGGGGGCCTCATTCCTTTGGGTTTCGGGGTTCCTTGTTTCCTTGGGGGGCCTCATTCCCTTGGGTCTGGGGGACCTCATTCCCTTGGGGTGCCTCATTCCCTGGGTCTGGGGGGGCCTCATTCCCTTGGGTTTCGGGGTTCCTTGTTTCCTTGGGGGGCCTCATTCCCTGGGTCTGGGGGGCCTCATTCCCTTGGGTCTGGGGGGCCTCATTCCCTTGGGGGGCCTCATTCCCTGGGATCTCCTTCCCTGAGGTCTTGGAATTCTTCATTCCCTTGGGTCTGGGGGTTCCACATTCCCTTGGGTCTGGGAATTCCTTCTCTGGGATCTGGGAGTGCCTCATTGCTGGGGGTCTGGGAGTTCCTCATTCTCTGGGAATTCTTCATTCCCTGGGGTCTGGGAGTGCCTCATTTTTCTGGAGTGCCTGATTCCCTGGGAATTCCTCATTCCCTGGGGTGGCCTCATTCCCTTGGGGTCTGGGGGTTCCTCATTCCCTGGGAATCCCTCATTCCCTGTGGTCTGGGGGGGATCCCCTTCCCTGGGGTTTGGGAGTTCCATGTTCCCTGGGAATTCAGGAATTCCGTGTGTCCTTCCTGGGAATTCTGTGTGGCTTTCCCAGGAATTTCGTGTGCCAATCCTGGGAATTTCGTGTGCCCAGCCCTTCTTGGGAATTCCATGTGGCCTTCCTGCGAATCTCAGGAATTCCATGTGCCATTCCTGGGAATTCCTCCATCCCAGCCCTTCCTGGGAATGGGATTTTTGACCCCCCCCAAACCCAACAATTCCCTGGGATTTCTCTTTAATTTCATGGAATTTTATATCAAATTTACCCCCCTTGGGCTGTACCCCCCAAGCTACCCTGGGAGTTGGGATTTTTCCACCATTCCCAGCTGAATTTTAACTCTCCAAACCCAACAACTCCCTGGAATTTCTGTTAAATCTCTGGAATTTAACTCCCTTTGGGATGGATCCAGACCCCTGCCCTGGGAGTTGGGATTTTTCCACCATTCCCAGCTGAGTTTTAACTTTCCAAACCAAACAATTCCCTGGAATTTCTATTGAATCTCTGGAATTTAACTCCCTTGTGATGGATCCCCACCCCTGCCCTGGGAGTTGGGATTTTCCAGCCTTCCCAGCTGAATTTTGACTCCACAATCCCAACAATTCCATGGAATTTCTATTGAATCTCTGGAATTAAACCCCCTTGGGATGGATCCCCACCCCTGCCATGGGAGTTGGGATTTTCCAGCATTCCCAGGTGACTTTTCCCCATTTTCCTGGCAGACCTGGGCAGCCGTGGGGACGTGGTGAGGGTGAAGAAGAGCCTGGGCAGGAACAAGCTGCTGCCCCAGGGCCTGGCCGTGTACCCATCCCCGGAGAACCTGCGCCTCTTCCAGCAGGAGAAGGAGGTCAGCAGCTCCTCAGGACCTTGGAAAAGCAGGAATTGGGGTTTGGAGGCTCTTTGGGATCATCCCACACCATTTTTGGGGGTTTTTTTGGGGTGGGAGGTGCTGGTTTCCTTAGGAGTGCAATCCCAAGGTGAGCCTGGAGCCATAAAAAATTCCTGCACAGGAGGGTTTGGGATGAGGGGAGAACTCTCCTGGCCTTGCCAAGGGATGATTCCTTCCCTTTTATCCTTCTCCATCCTTGGGTTTTTCCATTTTATCTTTCAATCCCTGTTTATTCCCACTTTTCCTCAATCTGTTTTCCTCAATTTCTTCTTCCCAATCCCCATTTTCCCATTTATCTTTCTAAATCTCGTTTTCCCCCCATTTTCTCTTCTCAGTCCCGTTTTTTGCCTCCTAAATCTTTTCTGTTCCCCTCTTTTTCGTCCTTTATCCAGTTTTTTTTCCTCATTTTGCCTCCATTTTCATTCCTAAATCCCATTTCCTCCATTCTCCCTCTAAATCTCATTTTCCCTTTTTGCCTCCTAAATCCCAGTTTTTCTCCCATTTCCCCTCCTAAATCCCATTTTCCCCTTGTTTTCTCCCCTCAATCCCATTTTTTCTCCTCAATCCCAGTTTTCCCCCCATTTTCCTTCCTAAATTCCATTTTCCCCTCTAAATCCCATTTTCCCTTTTTTGCCTCCTAAACAATCCCACTTTTTCCCCATTTTCCTTCCTAAATCCCAGTTTTTTCCCTTTTCCCTCCTCAATCCCATTTTTCCTTCTCAATCTTAGTTTTTTTCCCCATTTTCCTTTCTGAACCCCCATTTTCCCCCAATTTCCCATCCTAAATCCCATTTTCCCCCATTTCCCCCATTTTTCCCCCATTTCCCAACCCAATCCCCCTAATCCCATTTCCCCCCCATTTTCCCTTCTCAATCCCAATTTTTCCCTCCTCAATCCCATTTTCCCCTATATTTCCCCCATTTCCCCAATCCCATCCCTGCTAAATCCCATTTTCCCATTTTCCCCCATATTTTCTCCATTTCCCCCCATTTTCTCCCCATTCCCCCAATCCCATCCCTCCTAAATCCCATTTTCCCCCATTTTTCCCCCCCATTTTCCCCATATTCCCCCATATTTCCCCCATTTTCCCCCATTTTTCCCCCATTTTCCCCCATTTTTTCCCCATATTTCCCCCACATTTTTCCCCATTTCCCCCATATTTCCCCTGTATTTTCCCCATATTTCCCCCATATTTTCCCCCACATTTTTCCCCATATTTCCCCCATATTTCCCCCACATTTTCCCCATATTTCCCCCATATTTTCCCCATATTTCCCCCACATTTCCCCCACATTTCCCCCACATTTTCCCCATATTTCCCCCATTCCCCACCCCCTAACCCCATTTCCTTCCCCCCAGCTGGCTCAGCAGGGGAAGCTGGAAGAGCCCCAAACCCAGAGTGGGAAGAAGGTGAGCAGGAATCCCCCACCCCAAAAAACCCCAAAAAAAAACCCCAAAAACCCCCAAATCCCAGGATTTCCCCCATTCCTAAATCCCTTTTCCCTTTTCCAGACCCTGGAGTTCCTGAGGCGCTGCCGGCTCCAGGTGGGGATGAAGAACAACGTGAGCTGGGAGCTCAGCCCCGACATCGTGGCCCGGCACTTCCTCAAAAATGTGAGGGGATTTGGGGGGTTTTTGGGATTTGGGGGGATTTTGGGATTTCCAGGGTCAAATCCCAGGGTTTGGGGTCGTTCCTGAAGGATTTGGGGGGTTCAGGCCAGCCCTGCTCCTGGATTTGGGGCTATTTCTGGGTTTTGTGGCGTTTTGGGATTTGTGGGGTTTTGGGATTTGGGGGCTTTTTGGATTTATGTGGTTTTGGGATTTCTGGGTTTTGGGATTTGGGGGGTTTTGGGATTTGAGGGGTTTTTGGGATTTCCAGGGCCAAATCCCAGAATTTGGGGTCGTTCCTGAAGGATTTGGGGGGGTCAGGCCAGCCCTGCTCCAGGATTTGGGGCCATTTCTGGGTTTTTGGTGTTTTGGGATTTGAGGGGTTTTTGGATTTATGTGGTTTTGGGATTTCTGGGTTTTGGGATTTGGGGCATTTTTGGGATTCTCAGGGTCAACTCCCAAGGTTTGGGGTCGTTCTTGAAGGATTTGGGGGGTTCAGGCCAGCCCTGCTCTGGGATTTGGGGCTATTTCTGGGTTTTGTGGCTTTTTGGGATTTGGGGGGTTTT